AGATGTGGCTGTAGCCGTGCACCCCAAAGACCCCAGATACCAGGTGTGTCCCAGGGAGGGGCACGCGGGACAGCTCTGAGGGCTTGGGATCGTCTCTGGGCTCCTTTCCCAGCCCTGAAGTTGGAGCTGTCGGCCCTTAGGAGGGAGCCAGCCCAGGACAGGGGCTCTGGCTGGGTGGGGGTCTCTTGCTGGCCGCATGTCATTCCTTTCTGATGTCTTCCCTGCTCAGCACCTAAAGGGAAAGAGCGTCATTCATCCATTCCTGTCCCGGACCCTCCCTGTTGTCTTCGATGACTTTGTGGACATGGAGTTTGGAACAGGTGGGCGGGCCCTTAGCCTGTTGGGGGAAGGGATGAAAATTGTCTCCCCTGCCAGGCAGGACTGGGGCTGGGTGTAGGAAAGTGGACACGGGTGGCGGGGGAGCCCACGGCGTCTGGAGCACTGTCACTCCCGTGTCCCCAGGTGCGGTGAAGATCACCCCTGCCCATGACCAGAATGACTATGAGGTCGGGCAGCGGCATGGGCTGGAGGCCGTCAGCATCATGGACTCAAAGGGGGCCCTTGTCAATGTGCCCCCACCTTTCCTGGTGAGGATGTCTGCATGGTGGGGACCGGGGGGGCGGGGTTGCTGGGGCAGCCCCGTGAAAGGCCTTTCTCATCCAGGGGCTGCCCAGGTTTGAGGCCCGGAAGGCGGTGCTGGCTGCTCTCAAGGAACGGGGGCTCTTCCGCGGCGTCAAGGACAACCCCATGGTGGTGCCACTTTGCAAGTGAGACTGGAGACAGGCCAGACGGGATGGTGGGTCTTCTCTGGGTGGCCTGGCCTCCGCCGCATGACCTGTTCCTCCTGCAGCCGCTCCAAGGACGTGGTTGAGCCCCTGCTGAGGCCGCAGTGGTACGTTCGCTGCGGGGAGATGGCTCAGGCCGCCAGCGCGGCTGTGACCCGGGGCGACCTCCGCATCCTGCCCGAGGCCCACCAGCGGACCTGGCACTCGTGGATGGACAACATTCGGTGTGTGTGCTCCCTGGGTGGGGCGGACGGCCGGCGGCCGGGCCGCGCCGAGCACCCGACTCACCCTCTCCGTTTGCAGAGACTGGTGCATCTCTCGGCAGCTGTGGTGGGGCCACCGAATCCCTGCCTACTTTGTCACCGTCCACGACCCAGCCGTGCCCCCGGGGGAGGTGAGGAAAGGCTGCAGCTACGTGTTTGAGGGGCTGTGGGTTTCCAGGCCCTTGGTTGGCAGAGGGGTCTGGGCAAAGTAGCGGAACCTTTCTCGATGACCCTCTCTGTCAGGACACCGATGGGCGGTACTGGGTGAGCGGACACAGCGAGGCGGAGGCCAGAGAGAAGGCGGCACGGGCGTTTGGCGTGTCCCCCGACAAGATCAGCCTTGAGCAAGGCAGGGAGTGGGCGCAGAGGGCGGGGCACAGTTGGGATCCTGGGCCCGTTTTCCCATCCCACTAACCTCTGACCTTTGGCCTCTTCTAGATGAGGACGTATTGGACACCTGGTTCTCGTCCGGTCTTTTCCCCTTCTCCATCTTTGGTTGGCCCAGTCAGGTGTGTTCCCAGAGCACAGAGGGAGGGGCTTTGAAAGGGAATCTTTCTCACCCCCACCCTCGTTCTTCCCAGTCAGAGGACCTCAGCGTGTTCTACCCTGGAACCCTGCTGGAGACAGGTCACGACATCCTCTTCTTCTGGGTGGCCCGGATGGTCATGCTCGGCCTGAAACTCACGGGCAGGCTGCCGTTCAGAGAGGTGAGAAGATGCCTAAGACGCCCCGCCCGCCCCCACCCTGCCCCGCCCCTGCCTCACCCGCCTGTGCCCCCTCACTGCCCTCCTGTGTGGCTCCTGGCTAAGAATAGCGTTGGTCAGTCTGGCCCAGGGCTGAGGGGTCCACTGAGGGGTTCTTGGCCATCTGTCAGGCACGTTGAGACACTGCGTGGGGAGGGCCAGCCTGGAGGCGTGGTAGCCTCATTTTCTTTCCGCTCTGTGTCCAGGTCTATCTCCATGCCATCGTGCGTGACGCCCACGGCAGGAAGATGAGCAAGTCTCTTGGCAATGTCATCGACCCCCCTGGATGTCATCCACGGGGTCTCCTTGCAGGTGGGACACTCAGAGGGTGGTGTAGGAACGGCTGTGGGGCTGTGACCAGGGCCATCTGAAAGCCCCGTCTCTCCCTCAGGGCCTCCATGACCAACTTCTGCATAGCAACCTGGATCCCACTGAGGTGGAGAAAGCCAAGGAAGGACAGGTATGAGGGCACGCCCCGGGGCGGGGCTGCAGAGGTGGGCACGCCCCGGGGCGGGGCTGCGGCAGGTAGACACGCCCCGGGGGCGGGGACTGCGGCAGGTGGGCAGGGCCGACCATCCTGTTTGCTCTGCTTCTGTAGAAGGCCGACTTTCCAGCGGGGATTCCCGAGTGTGGCACCGATGCCCTGCGCTTTGGACTCTGTGCCTACACATCCCAAGGTGCGGTCCCCATCCCCCCTTGGCCTGTTTCCTTCCCTGACATCCTTGCTGACCTTGGGCCTGCAGGGGACCTCCCTGGGGGGTGGAGGACAGGGTGGAGTCACACTGACCCCTCGCCTAGGTCGAGACATCAACCTGGATGTCAACCGGATCCTGGGGTACCGCCACTTCTGCAACAAGCTCTGGAACGCCACCAAGTTCGCCCTGCGCGGCCTTGGGAAGGGCTTCGTGCCCTTGCCTGCCTCCAAGGTGAGGGTCTGCTGGCTGGGGTCGGTGACAGCAGCACACAGGCTGCCCCTCCAGTCCTCAAGTGCCGAGCGTAGTCCCTGCTGTGCCCAGACCCTGAGACCCTCCTTGTAGGCTGGGGACAGACGGGCTCTGGGGCTCTCACCGAGGGGCTGGGCCCATCCTTCCTCCCCAGACATTGACAAGGCAGGGATGGAGACTCTGCTGTGGCATCTGGTTCCCTGCCTGGGCACGTGGTGGCTAACTGGCTGGCATTCCTCTTCCCCCAAGCCTGAAGGGCCCGAGAGCCTGGTGGACCGCTGGATCCGCAGCCGGCTGACGGAGGCCGTGAGGCTCAGCAATGAAGGCTTCCAGGCCTACGATTTTCCGGCCATCACCACCGCCCAGTACAGCTTTTGGCTCTATGAGCTCTGTGACGTCTACTTGGTGAGCAGTGGGGCGGGGTTTAGGCACCGTGGCTCTGGGCTCAGCTTGGCCGTGTGTTGGCTCCTCCTGTCCTCAGTGAAGGCTGCAGGTAGTCCCGACCCTGACTCTGTGCCTCCTTCTCTAGGAGTGCCTAAAGCCTGTTCTGAATGGAGCGGACCAGGTGGCCGCAGAGTGTGCCCGACAGACCCTCTACACCTGCCTGGACGTCGGCCTGCGGCTGCTCTCCCCCTTCATGCCCTTTGTCACGGAGGAGTTGTTCCAGAGGCTGCCCCGGCGGACCGCAGCAGCTCCCGCTAGCCTGTGTGTCACCCCCTACCCAGAGCCCTCAGAGGTATGAGGTGTGGCCTGGAGGGAACACTGTGGCCCCCTCACCCCCCTCCTCACAGTCTCCTGCAGGCGGCTGCAGCCCCTCACCCCTCACCCCTTCCTTCTCCTCACAGTGCTCCTGGAAGGACCCCGAGGCTGAAGCTGCTATGGAGCTGGCACTGAGCGTCACTCGCGCCGTGCGCGCCCTGCGTGCCGACTACAACCTGACCCGCACCAGGCCTGACTGTGAGCCTCGGGCCCTGTGTCCCCGTCCCCTGCCCTCCTCGGCCCCTCGGGAGCCCGGGGTCTGAGTAGCCAGACTTCACTTCCCTCCGTCCTCCACAGGTTTCCTGGAAGTGGCTGATGAGGCCACGGGTGCGTTGGCGTCAGCAGTGTCTGGCTATGTGCAGGCGCTGGCCAGTGCGGGCGTGGTGGCGGTGCTGGCCCCGGGGGCTCCCGCACCTCAGGGCTGCGCTGTGGCTGTGGCTTCCGACCGCTGCTCCATCCACCTGCAGCTGCAGGGTTTGGTGGACCCCGCCCGGGAGCTGGGCAAGCTGCAGGCCAAGAGAAGGGAGACGCAGCGCCAGGCCCAGCGGCTGCAGGAGCGCCGCGCTGCCTCGGGCTACTCGACAAAGGTGCCCCTGGAGGTCCAGGAGGCAGACGAGGCGAAGGTGCGTGGGGGGACCTGACATGAGCTTCCGCGGTCACCCTGGTTCTCAGCCAGCTGCTGGGACCTGGAGCCCCATGCCGCAGTCGGGGTGTAGTGCCTGCCTCACCCAGAACGCCAGGCTGTGTCCTGGTGTGGAACCCTGCCGGCCCTGAGGCCCAGCCCCTGAGCGCCCGCTGCAGTTGAGGGCTTCCTCTCGGGCCTCGGAGTGAAGTGACCTTGTCACCTCACGGGGAACAGGATAGTAAGGCAGCGCATGGCTCCTGCACAGGTGGGGGTGCCAGGCAGGGCGCGTGGCCTGAGGCCCTCGCCGGGCACCCAGGGAAAGCATGATGGACGTGTGGAATACACCTGCCGGCCTCCCTGTGGCTCACCCATCCTTCCCTCTTGGGCCCCTCCGCGTTGGGGTGTCTGGGTCTCCCTGGGTCCTCACAGCATGCCCCTCTTCCACCCCAGCTGCAGCAGACAGAGGCAGAGCTCAGGAAGGTGGATGAGGCCATTGCCCTGTTCCAGAAGATGCTGTGACCCCAACGCTCAGAACCCCCAGTGGTCCACCAACAGGGATGGCAGCAATAAAATATTTTTGTCAAAAATTGTTGTTGTCTGTGTGTGGTGGGGCAGGAGGGATGCAGGGGTGCGGTGTGGGGGCAGGAGGGATGCAGGGGTGCAGTGTGGGGGCAGGAGGGATTCAGGGGTGCGGTGTGGTGGGGGCAGGAGGGATGCAGGGGTGTGGTGGGGGCAGGAGGGATGCAGGGGTGCGGTGTGGGGGCAGCAGCCCCGCCCGGGTCCTGGTGGGCAGAGGGATGCGCCTGCCTGGGTCTGTCTCTGGCACGGCGCCAGGCCTGAGTCACTGCTCAGCTGCTGGCTCCCTTCCTCCCCAGCTCACCTCGCGCTGCTGCTGCTGCGGCCACCGAGGCCCGCCCTGGCCCCGCCCTGCTCCCCACTGCTTCTTGTGGCCTTGGGCGAGCATGAATGGAAGAGGGTCGGGGCTGCCTGTCCTGTCCTCAGCGGTCTCTAATGCCCTCCCTCCCACTCCACTGAGGTCAGTTAATTATAACTCTGACCTAAGTGCCCTGGGACGCCACACCCGGGCCAGTGCCGCCCAGCAGACTCGGCAACCAGGTAGGACAGGCCTCAGGCTCGAGGGTAGGGCTGGGGCTCGACTTGGTGTAGGAAGAGAACCCCGAGGAGCCCCCGACCTCCTGATGGCCGGTGTCTGCTCTACTGGCCTGATAGGTGCTTGAGTTGTGTGGGCGGCTGCTTCAGGGCCGGGAGCCAGGCTGGAGTGCGCACCTGAGGGGAGGCAGGAAGTGGGCAGCAGGTGCCGTGGAGACGGCCAGGCCCGCCCGGGGACGGTGGCTTCTCCCTTGAGATCCTCCTGTTCCCTAGGTCCATGCCGCAGCCATGCTCCCTGGAGGCGCCCTGTCCCACCTGGGCCCCTCAATACTGCTTCTGCTTCAGCTGCCGCCAACATCTGCCTTCTTCCCCAACGTTTGGAGCCTCCTGGCCGCCCCGGGCTCTGTCACTCACCAAGACCTCACTGAGGAGGCTGCGCTCAATGTCACCCTCCAGCTCTTTCTGGACCGGCCACCCCCAGGCCGGCCACGCCTGCGTCTGGAGGACTACAGGGTGAGCACTCCTGGGTCCTGTCACCCCTTAGGCCCCGCAGGTGGCCAGGGGAGGCTCAGTCACCCGTTCACCTGCCCGCTTCCGCACCCCTCCCTCCCTGCGCAGCGCCACCCCCTGAGCGCCGTCTGTACCTGACAGACACCTGCAATCCCAGCGCTTAACTGCTGTCTAAGGCCAGCCTGTAACAGTGCGTGCCGTGCCGGCCACGCCGGCCAGGGCTGCATAGAAAACTGCAGATCTGACCCTCCCTGGTGGGGCTCCTCGCCCTCCACTCTGTCCACGCCCAGGCTTGGGTGCCAGTGACAGAAGCCAAGGGGCTGGCTCCTCTGGAGTCCCTGTCCCTCACCACTCTTGCCAGGGCCGGACCCTCCTTGCCGATGACATCTTTGCTGCCTACTTTGGACCTGGGTCACCTTCCCGGCGGTTCAGAGCGGCTTTAGGAGAGGTGTCTCGAGCCAATGCAGCCCAAGACTTCCTGCCGGCTTCCAGGAACAACCCTGACCTGCACTTTGATGCCGAGAGGCTGGTCCAGGGGCGCACACTCCTGGTGGGGGCTCTGCGGGAGACCCTGGTGGCCGCCAGAGCCTTTGAGTACACGCTGGCCCGACAGCGCCTAGGCGCCGCGCTTCATGCCCTGCAGGTGACTGGCACGCCTTCGCAGCCTCCCCTCCTCTGTGGGGCACACCCTGCCTGAGCTGGCAGAGAGTCCAGGGTCCTGCAGCAGTGGCGACGGAGCAGGGAAAGGGGGCGTGGAGTGGGGGGGGATGCTGGCTTATTTTGGGGGCCGCCAGAGAGCCCTTGGTGTAGACTCCAAGGCAGAAAAGACTGTGACAAGAAGGCTTTGCCACCTGGGCAGAGCTGTCTGGGCAATGCGAGCAGAAATGGGACGGCAAACGGGAGCGAGGAGGGAAATACGTTCTGGGTGGGGGCGCCGGGTGGCGGGCCAGGGTGTTGATCCTGACTAGATCAAATTAACGCCTCCCCCCCCTCTCCTGGGACCAGGACTTCTACAGCCACAGCAACTGGGTGGAGCTGGGGGAGCGGCAGCCGCACCCTCACCTCCTCTGGCCAAGGCCGGAGCTCTGGAGCCTGGCACAAGGTACGGCCGTGACCCTGTGTGGAGGAGGCGGGAGCTCAGGGAGCCCCTCTTCTCATGCACCCCTCGCTGGCTGTCACTGTCTGTCTGTCTCTCCATATCTCTCTCTGCCTCTCTCTCTGTGTCTGTCTCTCTCTGTGTCTGTCTCTCTCTGTGTCTGTCTCTCTCTCTGTGTCTGTCTCTCTGTGTCTGTCTCTCTCTCTTTTTTTCGAGACAGGGTTTCTCTGTGGCTTTGGAGGCTGTCCTGGAACTCGCTCTGTAGACCAGGCTGGCCTGTAGGATGTGGCGTTGCTTTATCCCGCAGGGACGATGAGTTCCCTTAATGTGGCTAATGGCTAGAACAGTTGGAGCTTTCGCAGCATCGCACAGGGAAAGCATCCAGGATCATGGGTCAGCGCTCAGACCTCATGCGTGTCTTTCCTGCCGCTCCATGGCCTTCTCTCAAAGCCCACCCCCCATCCTCCCAAATCCCTGGGTCTAGCTGGCAGAGAGCAGAGGCCCCATAGGATTGGTGCCCACACTATCGGGGTTTGTGCACCAACTCCATCGCAACCATGCAAACGCTGAGCCTGGGCGGCCGGCATCTGACCCAGGAAGCCTGGCCCCGGCGCCTGCGGTCCTCTCTCTGTCTTTCTAGCAGAGAGGAAGCCACTGGGTAACCAGGGATAAAAACGCACTGGCTGAGGCTTGGGTTGCAGCTCCTGCTTTCTGTTCCCAGAGGGTGATCCCACCTGCTCTGACTGTGAGGAGCTGAGCTGCCCTGGGAATATGCCTGACGTCACGCTGCTCACCTCTGGCTACTTTGGAGTTCATCCCCCCAAACCTCGAGGTACCCAGTGGGAAAGCTCCCTAGGAGGAGGAGGAGACAGCCGCTTCCTTTGCCTTTAACAGAGGACCCTGGTGGCGCCTCCCTGGGAGAGGGTGCATAGGGCCTCTGAGGGGACCCAGTCATTCTGTGTTGCCTGGGGACTGGCTTCAGAGAGAGAGACCCTGACCCCTCTTGGTTTACACAAAAGGTCACTATTTCCTGCCGCTCCCTTGCTGAGGCGTGAGGAGGCCACACCAGGTCAGAAAGGAGCCCGGAGTCTTTAGTTGGCAGTGGGCCTTTGTCCCTCACGAGCCAGATCTCTTTCCTCAACCCAGGGAAATGTAGCCACGGGGGCCATTTTGACCAGAGTAGCTCCCAGCCCCCTCGGGGAGGCATTAACAAGGACAGCACATCTCCAAGCTTCTCCCCACACCACAAGCTGCACCTCCAGGCTGTAGAAGTGGCCCTCCTCGCCTCCATCGAGGCCTTCAGCCTCCTGCGAAGCCGCCTGGGAGACAGGGGTTTCTCCAGGTGGGTGGCCTCCTGGAGATGGGTTCCCTGATTGGTCAGTGGCCCTGGGGGTGGGACTGAGGAACTGGGGATGAAAGTACGGAACCTTCACTGTGTCTCTGACTTGGACCACAGGCTGCTGGACATCACGCCAGCCTCCACGCTGAGCTTTGTCCTGGATACCACAGGCAGTATGGGCGAGGAGATCAATGCAGCTAAGATCCAGGCTCGCCGCATCGCGGAGCAGCGGCAGGGCAGTCCCATGGAGCCCGGTTTCTACGTCCTGGTGCCTTTCCATGACCCAGGTAGCACTGGTTTGCAGGGATGGAGGGAAGGGTGGCCCAGGGCAGAGGCCTCCGGTGAGGAGCAGGTGGACCTCAGGGCCATGCTGCCTGGGTCATCGTGGCGAGCCTCTGCTGGGTACCTGTGTCTTCGTAGAAGATAGTCAGCTGCTTCCGCTGTCTCTGAAATGGTGGCATCTTCACAAGTCCAGTGCCTGTTTGGGAAGGTGCCTCTGCCTTCCTGAGGTGTCTGTGCTGTCTGCATCTTTTGGGTTGGTTGTTTTGTTTATAAAGTGTGAGTGGCTATTTTGCCTTCGTGTTGGCTGGCACAGCAGCAACAACAAGCGCTCTTGTCTTCTCCAGGCCTTAGATCTTAGTCTGCTCAGTGGGGAGGCTGGGAGTGTTAGTCCTACTCCCAACTACCAGTCTCACGGCACCGTGGGCTGGCCGGCTTAATCTTCCTTTGCTGTGTCATCTAAAATGGGCTCGCACCTGGTGTATCCTCCTGGACTGAGAATTTCTTGGGGGGGGCGGGCTTGAGTCTGATTCACCTCACGGTGTGTGACTTACCCCCATGCTTCGAGGACGCGTGAGGCCACACTGTGTTAGTACTGTGTCCAGTCTCTGGTAACGCTTACAAATTCGCCAGCTCACTGAAGTTCTCCCAGGAGCCTCCCGGGTGAGAACGTTTATTCTCTCATTAAGTTTTAGAAGTGGGGCCGGGCGTAGGTGGCGCACGCCTTTAATCCCAGCACTCGGGAAGCAGAGGCAGGTGTATCTCTGTGAGTTCGAGGCCAGCCTGGTTTACAAAGTGAGTTCCAGGACAGCCAGGGCTACACAGAGAAACCCTGCCTCAAAAAAACCAAAAAAAAAAAAAAAGTTTTAGAAGTGGGGCTGGAGAAATGGTTCAGCAGTTGAGAGCACCCGCTGCTCCTGCAGAGCTTGGGTTTGGGTACGGTGTCCACACTGTGGCTCACAGCTCCCTCACGTACCTGCCCTTCCTTGCCCCCTGCCCAGGGTTTGGCCCTGTCTTTACAACCAGTGACCCTGACCGCTTCTGGCAGAGACTCAACGAGATCCAGGCCTTGGGGGGTGGAGACGAGCCTGAGATGAGCCTGTCTGCCCTGGAGGTCAGGTGCCGCCCCTCCCCGCCCCCCTCCCTCCCATCCTGCCCTTCCAGACCCGGCCACCAGGGGGGAGCCGGAGCTAGACACCCTGTTCTCCCACACGCCTGGTCCCACCCGCTCCCCTGGGTCACCGCCTTTAACAGTCAGCCTTTTCGTCCTCGCCAGCTGGCCCTGCTGCACACGCCGCCCCTCTCAGACATCTTTGTCTTCACCGATGCCTCCCCCAAGGACGCCTTTCTCACCAGCCGGGTAGAATCCCTGACTCGGGAACGGCGCTGCAGGGTGAGCTCCCTGAAGACGGTGGTCTCATGTGAGGCCACCCCAAACCTTTAACAAACCCCAGATTGGGGGTCCATGCCCTTAGCCATCCTGAACTGTTCGTATTGAACAGGCCCAGTGAGCCGTTCAAAGGGCTGGGCTGTGTGCTCTCTGCAGACTCCAGGGCCGGCAGAGAAACTGTCTGCCTGAGGCGGGAAGGTAGCCAGTGTGGGTTCAAACTTCTAGAATTCGAACCCCGGGGCGGTTTACTTTAGGCATATTTATGTGCAGTACAACCTTGGCGGAAAAAAGTTTCCTGGTAACGATTGTCGCAATAAAACTGCAAAGTACATATGACCTGTTCCATAAGGATGTGTTCTACTGACAGAAACAGTGTTCGGGATAAAGGCCTCGGGGGGAGGAGCCTGGGATAAGCATAGTAGTCTGGGGGATTCGGGTGAGGCCTGGCCCTACAGGTAGCAGGGACCACCAGGCTGTTAAGTTCACCAGGAGGACATACATACACCTCTTCCGTTGAAGAGAAACCCTGGTTTCCCTAGTGCTGTCAGCACCAGGGCCTGGCGCCCTCTACGCTGGGCAAACAAGGTCGGGCTAGGGCTCAGTGATGTTTACACTAAGACCCTGGGCTCTATCCCCAGCACCGCACACAAGGAAAAGTAAATTGCAATATAAAAACAGAATTAAAAACAAAACTGGGAAATGGACCATCCAGACTCGCCTTCCAAGGGCTGTGTCACTGGGAGCCCCGCCCCTGAGGGGAGGGGGGGAGACAGCTCTGGAGAAAGCGGAGCCGAGGAGGCCTGCTTTACACCGTGCTGCCTGGATACCTCAAGCATGGGGATGTCATTCGGTCGCAGGTGACATTCCTAGTGACTGAAGACCCAGCGAGGGTTCAGGGGCGAGTGCGGCGAGAGGTCTTGTCTCCTTTGCGTTTTGAGCCGTATGAAGCAATTGCCTTGGCTTCGGGAGGAGAGGTGATCTTCACCAAAGACCAGCACATTCGGGATGTGGCAGCCATTGTTGGGGAGAGCATGGCTGGTCTGGTGAGTGAGTACAGGCCAGATCTGAGGTCTGAGGCGCTGCAAGTCTCTTTAGAGGAGAAGGCGTTCTGACAGAAGGCCAGGGAGGGAAGTTGTCATTGTCCTGTGTCCCCATCTCCCCCCTCCCCAGATCCGTGGCTTCTCACCTTCCTTGAGGCAGTAACTGCCCGCATGCCCTCCACCTCGGTCTCCAAGACTGTGAGACAAGAAATTTGTTTTTTAAAGATTCATTTATTTATTACATATACAGCGTTCTGCCTACATACCAGAAGAGGGCACCAGATTGAATTGTAGATGGTTGTGAGCCACCATGTGGGTGCTGGGAATTGAACTCAGGACCTCTGGAAGAGCAGTCGGTGCTCTTAACCTCTGAGCCATCTCTCTAGCCCCAAGAAATCTTTTTTAGTTTTGTTTTTGAGACAAGGTCTCACTGTGTAGTCCTGGCTGGCCTGGCCTGGCCTGTGACTCACCGAGTGGACCAGACTGGCCTTGAACTCGAACTCACAGAGATCTGCCTGCCTCTGCCTCCCGAGTGCTGGGACTAACGGCGTGCACTGCCGCACTCTGAATCCCTCACCTCCAGTGTGTCACCAAGCACAGTCGCATTGTCCCCGGTCCAGGGCCCTGTTGACGGCCCCTTCCCTGGGTGAGGCCCCTCCCTCTCCCTCTCTCTGCCTTTGTTGGTCCATGCCGTCCTCTCTTTCCCCTTTGGTCCTGCTCATGTCTCCAGGTGACTCTTCCCCTGGAGCCTCCTGCCTTCGTCCCTGGGGAGACGTGTGTGTTCACCGTGGACAGGCTGCTCCGGCGGGTCACGGTGCGGATGCACGGGGACATCAGTAGCTTCTGGATCAGGAGCCCTGCAGGTGCCATGGTGTGGGTCCCAAGGCAGACGGGGAAATCGAGGGAGCAGAGCAAGGGGTTGCGCAGGGACGAGAATCGTTTCACGTGACAGCCTCTCGTCCCCGTCCCAGGGGTGTCCCAGGGCCCAGAGGAAGGCACAGGCCCTCTGGGTCACACCCGTCGCTTCGGACAGTTCTGGACAGTGACCATGGCTGACCCCCCTCCGACAGGGTCTTGGGAGATGCGGATAGCAGCTGAGGGGAGTCCCCGCCTGAGAGTGCAAGGTGAGGAGAGAAGGCTCCCGGGAAGGGGTGTGGTGACATGGTCCTCTCTGCGGGTGTCTGACCGCCTCCCTCCCCAGCCCAGACTCCCCTGGACTTCCTCGTTCACTTCGGGGTCCCTGTGGAGGACGGACCCCACCCAGGCCTCTACCCCCTCACTCAGCCAGTCGCAGGTAGTATAGACTGCTCGCTGACCCTGCCCCTCAGTTGGCTGCATGTGTGTGTGTGTGTGTGTGTGTGAGTGTGTGAGTGTGTGTGTGTGTGAGTGTGTGTAGACGTATGTATGCATACGTGTGCGTGTCTTGTGACCTTGTGACGAGAGTCCAGCTCGGTGGGTGTCACGTGACGCCCTCACATGACCCCCCCCTTTACCCCTCCAGTCCGGTGTAGACCGCTGTCCTTCCCTCCCACCTCAGGTCTGCGGACCCAGCTGCTGGTAGAGGTGACAGGGCTGGCCTCTAGTCGGGACCCCGAGCATGGCCAGCCGCATTTTTCCCATGTTGTCCTTCGGGGGGCGCCCTCTGGGGCCCCCCGTCTGGGCCGGGTGCCCTTGGAGCCTGTGGGACCCCCCGAGCGAGGCCTCCTTGCTGCCACCCTGCCGCCCATACTGCTGTCTACTGCTGGGTCCTTCTTCCTGGAGCTGGCTGGCCGGGATGGAGGGGGCCGGGGCCTGCGCAGGACCGCCCCCCAGCCTTGCACGGTGGCTCCTGTGCTTCTGGAGGTGAGGAGGTGTGTGGGCGGGTGAGGCTGGGGGGACTAGAAACCGCTGTTCTCACCCTCTCCTTCCCTGCAGCTCGGTGGCCCACCAGCCTCCCTGACCCCGGGCAGCAAGGCCCCTCTGAGCCTGCGCGTGGCCAGCTTCTCCGGCCCCCAGGATCTCGACCTTAGGACATCAGTCAACCCCAGCTTCTCCCTCACCTCCAACCTGTCCAGGTGAGTTTCCCGGTCTGTACCTTTGCTTGGCTGGGTTCTGGCTTCACCCAGGCAGTTCTACAGGGGCTGCTGGGACTCGAGTCTCATCCCAAGCCGCAGCCTCTTGTTCCTCAGCCCTCAACCCTGAAATGCTGGGTCCACCCCGGGACTGTAGCCTGATGGAGCCTTCTGACCGCTCTGCAGGGCTCAGCTGGGACTGAACGAGTCTGCCTGGGGGCGTCTGTGGCTGGAGGTCCCGGATTCAGCGGCTCCTGGCAGTGTGGTGACGGTGACTGTGACTGCGGTGGGACAAGGAGCCGGCCCGGCGCCCCCGACCCATGCCTTCCTCCGGCTGCTGGTGCTGGCCCCGGCCTCGCAGGTAAGGCGCCTCCCCGCTTCCCCAGCCTCGCAGGTAAGGCGCCGCCCCGCCTCCCTCCTGGCTGCGAAGCCTGGCACACTTTAGTCCCCTCCTCTCCTCCCCGCAGGATCAGCTGGAGAGTCCCGCCCGCCCCGCTGGCCGCGTGCTCCCTCCAGTCGCCTCCACCGTGCCGGCTTCCGCTCCGGTGACTCGGGGCAGAGCTGGGGGAGGGGCGGCCAGTCCATCGTGGTGGGGGACAATCGCAGGGGTGCTGTTCCTGCTGGGTTGCTCTTCCTGGTAACAGACAGCGCTGCGGGGACAGGCCTCTTCAGTACCATTCTAGTCTGCCCCATAGGCGGGGTGGTCGCATGGCTTCAGGGCCCCACCCTCTGACTGGGTTGGGGTTTTCCTCTGTCACACTTGACCCTCCTCTTTCTTCCTTTTCCGAGACGGGGTTTCACTGTGACAGCCTGGCTGTCCTGGAGCTCAGAACCCTGCCTGCCTCTGCCTCGAGAGTGAAGGTTTGCACCACCACCGCCCAGGAGTAGACGGCATGGTGGTCCATACCTGTAGCCCCTGGAAACGGAGCGGATGTCAGAGGGCTGCCTAGCTCAGAAACAACGTCAGCCTAACAAATCTAGAGACCTGGAGGGTGGTGATGGGTTTCCCACGAGGTGCTTTCCCAACCCAAACAGGAACCAAACAAAAGGCTTTTTTTTTTAATGTTTTGGAAGCTGCTGTTTATTCCAGGAGGGCAGGGCACCCGCAAGCACAGGTTCACTCTAGCATCCAGGGTGGCTTCTGTACTTAGCTGGACTTTAAGCTGCAGAGGGTTCCAGTGATGGTGCCTTCTCCCCCACACTCAAGACAGGTGTTTTTGCACACAGCATGGGACAGAGTGAGGGTAGGGATGTCCAGAGGGTGCAGCGGGCACTGTTAGGGGTCTCCAGTTCACTTTTGAATTTCTCTGAGCCACAGCCCAGAGCCCCTGGCTGCTGGGTCACGATAAAGTAAGGTGTGTGCGGTGTCTGCCAGCCCCGCTCCCGACTCAGCAGTGTTGGGAGGGGAGGTTCACACACGGGTAGGGCCCCTCTGCCCCTGGGGGCAGCCTGGCCAAGCCAGCGCTCCCTTGGACTGTTGCTGCTCCGACAACTCCTAGAAGAGAGAACCAGACCGGCACCTGCTTCCCGCCCTGCAGGGCCAGGCCCGGCACTCCCTTCGGCTTGCCCGTAGCTGCCACACGTTCTCAACCCTGGCATCCCTCCGCGCCCTGCGGGAGCCAGCCCTGCCAGTGGGTACGGGGAAGCTAACTCGGTGGACTCCCCCACGCCTCTGCAGTCTCCACATTAAAACGACACACTCACCGTCTGAATGAGACTTCGCAAACAAGCGTTCACCTTTTGGATCTGGGTTAGCTGTGGGGAGTCGGCCTCTGAGTCCAAGTTCATGGGGAAATCCTGGGTGGGTTGAGGGTGACGTTGTCCTGGAGACAGATCCACCTGCCACCTCTTCACCACAGCCCACCCTGACTGAATGCCTCATCCCAGAGCCCTTCCGGACAGGTGGGAAATCCAGGCCTCTCCACCTCCATCTCTTAGAACTGCAGCTCCCTTCCAACTGCGTGGCCCCACCCGTACCCCACCCTGTCCATCCTACCCTGTGAGAGCGGCCCAGGCCACCCCCACTCTGATCGAATGGAGTCCCTCTGAATGGAATGCAGACCAGCTTCTTCCAGCCCAACAATGGACACTGGTGGCTTCCTGTCGTTCTGATGCCATTCCACTTCATGACCCCTGCCTGTTAACCCTCCCCCTCTCCAGAGCAGACTCCGCTTACCCCTCCCCCCGGCCCACATACAGGAGGCAGCTCCCACCTGGCCAAGGGCGCCCAGATGCAGCTGTCGTTGCTGTGTCTGTCTTAGACGGTCTGCAAACCAGGCTTGGCCCTGCTCCAGCAGCTCCAGGCCCCGCCACAGAGCATCTTGTTCCCTCTCCAGAGCCTGCATCATCTGCAGCTGGCTTCGACAAACACAGGCCAAAACTCTCACCCCCAGCAGGACCCCACGACGGCCCACACTCAAGGGCTCACCCTGGTCACTAAGTGTGAGCTCAGACAGCCCACTGAGGACTTGGGCGCAAGGTGGCACAGGGGGAAAGCCCATGGGTCCCCAGAGTGATTGGAAACGGCAGATCTGGGGAGGGATGTCCTAGACTCGCTGGCCTAGTACTCACCCAGAGGAAGAAGCTCTGGGCCCCGGGATCTTGGCGGCTTGTCCCCAGTGGTAGCAGCAGAACAGTGTAGGGCGCTTGCACCAGGGGTGGCCCACCATGACCTGGGCTCCCCATGGCTCTGAAGTAGGAAGGGTGGAGCCAGGACTGGTCCCGCCCCCAGCCCTGCCTTCTACCCGACCTGCCTGTCTTTCAGCCTCTGGGGCCTCCCTTGACCTGAGTCATCCTTCAATCTGTTTGTGTGGAGCCTCTCGCAAGCAGCTGCCCTCATGGAGTCCCAAAGGCAGAATCTGAATTTATTTAAATGTTATTTATGACTTTTTTTTTTTTTTTTGGTTTTTCGAGACAGGGTTTCTCTGTGGCTTTGGAGGCTGTCCTGGAACTCACTTTGTAGATAGACCAGGCTGGCCTCGAACTCACAGGCTATTTATGACTTTTTATGAGACAAGATCTTCCTATGTGGCGTAGCTGTCCTAGAACTCACTATAGACCAGGCTGGCCTCAAAAAAGATCTGCCTGGAGCCGGGCGGTGGTGGTGCACGCCTTTAATCCCAGCACTCGGGAGGCAGAGGCAGGAGGATCTCTGTGAGGCCAGGCTGGACCAACAGACTCCAAAATAATACAGAGAAACCCTGTATCGTAAAACCAAAAAAAAAAAATCTGCCTGTCCCTCTGCTGCCCCAGTACTGGGATTAAAGGTGTGCAGCACCGTACCTGACTGAGAGAGAGAGAGAGAGAGAGAGTGTGTGTGTGTGTGTGTGCATCACCTGAGTCCCAGAGCCCATGGAGACCAGAAGGAGTTGCAGATGTGAGCCACCATGTGATGTCTAGGGCCAAGCCCACGCTCAGCCAGTGCTGCTAACCACTGAGCACCCCAGCCAAGTGTCACTGTTTTTCTGAAGGACTGCTCCCTGTCCCAGCTCTCCCAGTGTCCTATTGGATGATCTTTGGAAAGATTCTGATCCAAAATAAATTTTATTCCTAATACAAAACGACCAAGAACGCTGGGGCCACAGAAGAGGGGGCGGCGTGCTGGTCTCAGGTGTTGGGATCAGAGGGTAGAGGAAGGGCCCTCAGAGGATGGTGGTGGCGGCCGGCAGCACTTCCTGACTCAGGAAAACGCCCAGATCCAGGGTGGGGTCTTCCAAGTCCAGCTTCAGGAACTTACCCACCAGTGCCTGGCAACTGCAGGGAGAAAGAACCGAGCCCCTTCTGGGTCTGCACAGGAACCGCTGCCCCGAGAGCTAAGGGTTTCAGAAAGCAGTCAGTTTTGTCATTTTCTGACGCGGTCTTGCTATGTAGCTCAGGCTGGCCTTGAACACTGGGATTACAGGCGTGTGCCTCCACACCTGACTTGGTGAGGGAGGGGCGCAGGGTGGAGGGAGGGTGGGGAGGACGCTTACTTTTCCACCTGGTTCCTCCTCACGAGCTCATTCACGGGTTTGATGGGTTTCCCGCTGCGGATCAAGTCTGAGACCTAGCACGGGAAGGAAGACGGGAGCTGGTGGGGCTCACAGGGGGAGGGGAATGAGGGTCGGGGATCCTGTGGGCCTACAAGTCCAGGTCTTCAAGAGGCGCAGGTATAAGGGTGCAGAGATGCCCAGTGATTACAGCACTGGCTGCTCTCACAGAAGACCTAGGTTCAGTTCCCAGCACCCACAACTGTCTACTCCAGTTTCCTGAGATCTGACCTTCTCTTCTGACCTCCACGGTCGTAGACACGGGCACAAATGCAGGAAAACACTTATGTGTACACAATACATGAGTCTTACATGTACACAATACATAAGTCTTTTTTTTTCTTGAGGTAAGGTTTACAGCATGGAACTCTTTGCAGACCAGGCTAGCCTTGAACTCACAGAGATCCGACTGCCTGAGTGCTGGGATTAAAGGCGATCGTTACCACTGCCCAGCCAGACACATAAATCTTAAAAGCACAGGGCTTGAAGAGGAGCACCTGTGCGGGAAGGGAGCCCGGGGAGGAGGTGGCCGCACACAGGCCCTCGTCACCTCTTTGCCGCGAGCAATGAGCTGCTCAGGAAGGCCCGCCTGGGCGGCCGTATAGGAGGCATGGCTGGCACTGGCAACACCTTGGCAGAGCTGGTAGAAGAAGACGAGGTCGTCGCCGTCCTCACAGGTCTCCATGGTCTGAAAAGACAGACAGTGACAGTGACGGGGCTCCCCTGGGCCTGAGAAGGGGAGAGGCCTCGGGCTGGAGTGACTGCTCACCAGATACTGCACCAGAGGCCCTTGTGGCAGCAGCTGCAGCTGAACGAGGCTCAGGAAATTGGTGGCCACAAAGACGTGGGGGCAGCGGGGCCCCAGGGCCAGCCAGTGTCGAAGCACAGCAGCCAGGAGTGCCAGCCCGTCCACCTGCCAGAGGGCAGAGGTGAGGGGACAGCCAGGGCACCCGTGCCCTTCTGCCCATCCCTGCCCACCATCCCCATTCCCTCTCCGAGCTCAGTCTCCTGTCCCTCCCCTCTCAGCATTCTCTTCTCACCGTGTTGGTTCCCTTCCCAAACTCATCCATGAGGACCAGCGACTGCTCAGTGGCGTTGTTCACCGCCTTGGCCACCTGCAGGGCACAAGTGAACAAGGGGCTCCTTCGCTTTCAGGGCCTCTGATGCTTGCCCTGGGCAAACTACAGCTTCTTCTTTTTTTTGTTTTTGTTTTTGTTTTTACGAGACAGGGTTTCTCTGTATTGTTTTGGAGGCTGTCGGTCCATCCTGGCCTCGAACTCACAGAGATCCGCCTGCCTCTGCCTCCCGAGTGCTGGGATTAAAGGCATGGCCACCACCGCCCGGCAAACTACAGCTTCTTAAGAGTCACACTTATTTGCTCAGCCTTCATTTGGTAGCAATGAAGGAGTCTCCAGGAATGTTTATGGTGTTGCTTCCTCTAGACTCTGACCTGGGTGCTCCCTGGCCTCAAGTACAGAGGACAAGCAGCAGAGGGCATGTGCTCCTAAGGGCAGGGGCGCGGTTCCTACCTGATTATCCCTCCTGCCCCTCCCTCCTTTTGCCCCCTTTAACCTGGTTGAGGTCAATCATGAAGGTGGAGAGTCCGAGGGAGATGGATTCGCAGCTATGAATTCGGGTGAAGATGGCGTCGATTACCCCAATTTCAGCGTCCTCTGCGGGCACAAAGCTGCCCACCAGGGCCATGAACGTGATCAGGCCTACCTGGGCACGGGAGGGGACAGGACATGGACCTGGTTCTATGGGCAAAAGCAAAACTGGGTCTCAACTAAACCTCGAGTGAGAGATTAAGGGGGCGCAGTGTAACTGCAGAGCAGAGACTTCAGAGTTAACTGTGCAGAGTCAGGGTGTGGTGAGTGCATGCTAGGGAATGGCCGGGGCCTCCAGAGGTTGGCCAAGGGGCCCGTGGCCAACACAGGCTGCAGGACAGAGGAGACAGAGGAGATGCAGAGACCTAGGCTGTGTGGCCTCACCTGTTTGAGGTATATGCTCTTCCCTGAGGAGTTGGGTCCAGTGATGACTTTGACCCTCCCTTGGTCCCCGCCACAGTCTGTGGAGTTGGGCACGAAGGTTCGCGCACACAGTTCCATCAGAGGATGCCTGTGGGGGGAGGGACGTCGCGTGGACTGTAGATCCGGGCGGATGAGCCCCACACCAGAAGATGGAGCCTGTGGGCCCCTTGTGTCTGCGTCTGGCCCCGCTCTGTTCTCACCTGCCATTCTTGATCCGTACTCCATGGGTTCGGGGAGAGTAACGCGGCCTTGAGTAGCCATAGTCCCGGGCAGCACTGGCAAGAGCCAGCAGGACATCGAGGCGGGAGGCCAGGTCCAACACCCGAGTGAGGGCAGAAGCCCGCGCCAGCACCTGGCACTGCAGCTGGTACATCAGCAGGGTCTCCTGGTCTGGGGAAGGAGCTGGGGTCAGTTCAGGGAAGTGAAGACAGACACAGAGGCCCCTGAAAGATCTGGAAGCAGGCATACAGATGCAGTGACTCCCGCAGCTGTTCAGAAGGGAACAGAAGGCCAGAGAGCAGACTGTTGTTGGGGCTGCCTCCCCAGGCTGCTCACCGCGGATCTCGCAGTGCAGGTCCCCCAGCAGGGCATCCAGCTCCTTGGTTCGCGTGCTGCGATAGTGCAGCTTGTCCTCTGAGAGAAACTGGGAGCAAGGGTTCCAAGCTCTGGGCTTTTGTCTCTTGTTTTTGCTTAGTGACACAATTTCACTCTGTAGTCCTGGCTGGCCTGGAACTCACAGAGATCCCCCTGCCTCTGTCTCCTGAGTGCCAGGATCACAGTTGTGTACCACCATGCCCAGTGGCTTTTCATCCCTCGGTGTCCCTCTCCTCCCCCTCCCCCAGTGCCCCGCCCTACCTTCTCTGTCTCAGCTCTGCTTGAGCTAGACATGGCCCCACACTTTGCTCAGTGCTGAAGGCGATCTTCCAGCTTCCTGTCAATTCTTCTTCACACCCCCACCCCACCCAGCGGCGGGAGGAACAGGGATTTACCATGAAGTCCAGGCCCTCAATCTCAAAGTCACTGGCCTCCACCATGAAGGGCAAGCGGGGAATGGAAAGAAGGAAGCCGATCTGGGGAGAGGAGAGGCAGAGCGGGGTGAAACCTGCGGGACAGCCTCCTCGCAGACACCACTGGGGTGCTCCATCTCTCCCCTCAGAGAGCTACAGTCACCAAAGGTGTTCACGTCCCCAGGCTGCGGAGCTGGCTGGCTGGGCATCACCACAGCCCCTAGAGGCCCCGCCCTCCCCCTGCTCACCAGAGGGATATAGATGACACTACAGGAAGGGATTCGAGTGTCCAGATTCTCCAGCTCCTTCTGGGCAACTTCAGTGAGGAAGCTTGGGAGCCCCGTCAGCCGTCGCTTTTCTAGGCGTGTAGACAAAGGTGAGGTCCAGGGAGATTAGGGGTTCAAGGCCAACCCTGGCCACATGAAAAAAGTCCTGGTTGGCTGGGCATGGTGTGCATGCTATAATAATTCAAGCACTCCAGAAGTGGAGGCAGGAGGGTCAGCACTTTGAGGCCATCCTTAGCTACCTATTCGGTTTGAGGCTAGCCTATGCTATAGGAGACTCTGGTTTTGGTGTCTGGCTGGCAGGCCCCCAGGACCCCCGTGCCCAGAACTCACTCGCATCTATTTCCGGATCTATGTTGGGGAGGACTGTGAAGCGATTTTCAGCAAGACTTTCCTCAAAGTCCACCTGAGGAGACAGACAGGAAGTCCAGTTTCTGAGCACCCAGTACCCTTTCTCTGTCCTGTCCTCACCCCCCCAATTCTCTAACACTAATTTTCACACACTTCTCTCCACACCCTGTTCAGTTACCAAACTGATCCCATCCTCTCCATCCCATCCCAACCTCTCCATCCCATCCCAACCTCTCCATCCCATCCCGTGCTCTCCACCCCATCCTCTCCATCCCATCCTCTCCATCCCATCCTCTCCATCCCATCCTCTCCATCCCATCCCGTGCTCTCCATCCCATCCTCCCATCCCATCCCATCCTCTCCATCCATCCTCTCCATCCCATCCTCTCCATCCCATCCTCCCATCCCATCCCATCCTCTCCATCCATCCTCTCCATCCCATCCTCTCCATCCCAACCTCTCCATCCCATCCCATCCTCTCCATCCATCCTCTCCATCCCATCCTCTCCATCCCATCCTCTCCATCCCATCCCGTGCTCTCCATCCCATCCTCCCATCCCATCCTCTCCATCCCACCCCATCCTCTCCATCCCATCCTCTCCATCCCACCCCAACCTCTCCATCCCATCCTCTCCATCCCATCCCATCCTCTCCATCCATCCTCTCCATCCATCCTCTCCATCCCATCCTCTCCATCCCATCCTCTCCATCCCATCCTCTCCATCCCATCCCATCCTCTCCATCCCATCCTCTCCATCCCATCCTCTCCATCCCATCCCATCCTCTCCATCCCATCCTCTCCATCCCATCCCATCCTCTCCATCCCATCCTCTCCATCCATCCTCTCCATCCCATCCTCTCCATTCATCCTCTCCATCCCATCCTCTCCATCCCATCCTCTCCATCCCATCCTCTCCATCCCATCCTCTCTGTTCCCACTCCACTCTCTGCTTCCTCCTCATGTCCCCTTTCCTCTCACCACTTTCCCAATAAGGCTGGCAATGTGGTGCAGGTCGTCAGAGAACTCTTGGGCGATGTCGTGAAAAAGCTGGATGGACTGTGGCAGGGAGCGGCAGATGTCCCTCAGGCCCAGGGCACTATACACAGTCTGCAGGAGAGAGCCCAGGAAGGTGAGGCAGCTCAGGGAGCTGAGGGAGCGGGTGTAGCCGACTGAGAACAGAGGCGGTGGGGACACAGAGAAGTAATAGAGGCTCAGAGAGACACAGCGAGGCACACGTGAAAACAGAGACATTGCCAGTTAGACTGTGCAAGAGAGATTAGGAATAAACGTCGAGGAAAAGGGTCGAGGACGTGGTTCAGCAAGGGAAGCTGAGGGTTGCTGAGCCTCGCAGCCGCGTTCCTTCTCCAGACCCCTGTGTGTGTGTGAAGGAGGGAGTCTCTCAGGTTGTACTCTGGTTTCCAAGTGAGAGTCATGGCACAAGCTAGCACAGACTACACTAAGTAAATAAATACATATTTTTGTTTTGTTTTGTTTTTTGAGACAAAGTTACTCTGTGTATCTCCGGCTGTCCTGGAACTCGCTCTGTAGACCAGGCTGGCCTCAAACTCAGAGATCCGCCTGCCTCTGCCTCCTGAGGGCTGGGATTAAAGGTGTGCACCACTACTGCCTGGCTAAAAAAAGTGTTTTTTTAGGAGCCAAGAAAAGAAGCAAACAGGAAGCAGCAGCCACAGCATGGGCCCTGCAGGGAGGAAAGGCTCGGAGTGCTCGGGAGCCAGGCTGAGCCAGTGGAGGAGCTCTCACCTAACCGCATCTCAGCCCTCTCTCTCACCTAACCGCATCTCAGCCCTCTCTCTCACCTAACCGCATCTCAGCCCTCTCTCTCACCTAACCGCGTCTCAGCCCTCTCTCTCACCTAACCGCGTCTCAGCCCTCTCTCTCATCTAACCGCGTCTCAGCCCTCTCTCTCATCTAACCGAGTCTCAGCCCTCTCTCTCATCTAACCGCATCTCAGCCCTCTCTCTCATCTAACCACATCTCAGCCCTCTCTCTCATCTAACCACATCTCAGCCCTCTCTCTCATCTAACCGCGTCTCAGCCCTCTCTCTCATCTAACCGCATCTCAGCCCTCTCTCTCATCTAACCGAGTCTCAGCCCTCTCTCTCATCTAACTGCATCTCAGCCCTCTCTCTCATCTAACCACATCTTAGCCCTCTGGACAGAGCCCTAAGCGGCAGAGGTCTCGCTCTGGGGAAGAGCTGTGTGAACTGCAAGCCAGCAAAGTGAGCTGTACAACTGACCAAGTAGTCGAGTTTCAGAAAACAAGACTAACACGGCCTGAAACAGTTAGGGAAAGCCGTTTCAGAGAAAAGGAAATGTGACAGGTCGTGAATAAAGACTCAAAAGTCGACAGGTGGATCTCTGTGAGTTCGAGGCCAGCCTGGTCTACAGAGCCGATTCCAGGACAGCCTCAAAAACAATACAGAGAAACCCTGTCTCGAAAAACTAAAAAAAAAAAAAAAAAAGACTCAAAAGTCATGTGAGAGCAGGAACAGAGCACATGGACTGGAGAGGAAGGCACAGCGACCACCTCCAGTTCACGGAGGAGACCCTGGAGTAAAGGCCTGAAAGCCTCACTCTTGATAAACAAACTCGCAAATGGACAGCTGGGGCTTGAACCAGGTGTGTACACCTGCCCCCTCATGTCTCTCTCAAATTGAACCCAGGACCCAGGGTCCTCACAGTACTCCAGGGCTGAGCTGTGACCCCTACCCTTGTTTATTCTGAGATACCACCAAGTAATCCACACAGCTGTCTAACTCACTTGGTAGCCCAGGATAACCTTAAACTTCTTTTGTTTTGGGGGAGAGGACAAGGTCTCAGTTGGGTGTGGTGGCACAAGTCTATAATCCCAGCTCCCTGAAAGGTGAGGAAGATGGATCACAAGTTCAAGATCAGCTTGGATGCCATAGTACATCTGAGGCTAGCCTGGGCTATATTAGTGCATCTGAGGCTAGCTTGGGCTATATTTTGAGACCCACTTTCAAAAGTAACCAACCAAAGAAGCAAGCATCAGTGCTTAGGATGCAGAGGCAAAAGATCGCTATAAATTTGAGGTTGGCTTAGTCTACAAAACAAGCTCCAGGACAGCCAGGGCTACACAGTGAGATCCTGTCTCAAAATAGATAAGAATAAATATTTTTTTTGGTTTTTTGAGACAGGGTTTCTCTGTGGCTTTGGAGGCTGTCCTGGAATTTGATCTGTAAACAGACTGAGATCCGTCTGCCTCTGCCTCCCAAGTGCTGGGATTAAAGGTGTGTGCCACCAATGCCTGGCAGAAATAAATCGACTGACATAGAGCTGAGGAATCTATCTCAGTGATAGACCATTTGCCAAGCATGTGTAACATTCTAGGTTCAGTTCACACACACACTCCATACACACACACACACACACACACCATAAACACACACACAAACCGCACGCACACGTATACACACACAAGCACACACGCACGCGCCCACCTGCACACACACAATTGTTTTGTGATTATAGGATGTTAATTTAAGGGAAGGCAGGATAACTATAATTCTTGCAACTTTTAAGTCTTAAATTGCTTCAAAAAATAAGACCCAGCAAGACGCGGCAGTAGACAAAGGCACTTGCTTCCGATTGCTCACAACCTGAGTTCAACCCTGGTGTCCGCATTGAGGAAGGAGACAACTGACCCCTGACCCCTGACCCCTGGTGCTTTCCTCTCACCCCGCATGCACACTGTCTCACGAGTGCTCCACATTCACAAAGCAATGCAATCAGTTTTTAAAACCTAAGTAAAACAATACAACAATACATTTTAAAATTCAGAAAGAGACAGGGGCGTGGTGGCACACACCTTTAATCCAAACACTCAGAAGGAAGGCGGAGGAGGGGCAGTTTCTGTGAATTTTAAGCCAGAACTCTGCATAAAGAGTTCACGACAGCCAGGGCTACACAATCAGAAGCTGTTTCAAAAAAAAAAAAAAAAAAAAAAAAAAAGGAAATAAATGTGGTGGTTTGAATGGAAACGGCCCCCACAGGCCCATAGGGAGTGGGCGGCGCTCCCTGCTGTCTGAGGTCAGTGCTCAGCTCCTCTCCAGCGCCGTGTGCGCCTGTGCGCTTCCACGCCCCCACCATGGTGACAGTGGACTACACCTCGGAACTGTAAGTCGGCTGCTGTGGTCACGGTGTCTCCTCACAGCAACAGAACACGAAGACGATAGATATTTACTTCCTTTACAAGAGCTGCTGTGGTCACGGTGTCCCCTCACAGCAACAGAACACGAAGACGATAGGTATTTACTTTGCTTTATGATTATGTAAGCATATTTACAGTCATAGCAACCCAGACAAGGCACACATCACTAATTCTAGCTTCTGCCCCACTGTCTTTACAACACTAACGTCAAACCTCACAGGTCCTGGAGAGACCGCTCAGCAGTTAGGAGCTCTGGCTACTCTCGTAGAGGACTACGGTTTGTTTGTTTGTTTTCCAGAACCCACAGGGTGGCTCACAACCATCTGTAACTCCAGTTCTAGGAGGTCTGACGCCCTCTGCTGGCCTCTCCAGATTAGGCATGCACATGTTGTACAAGGGTACATGCAGGATAAAATGATACAGGCGGTGAGGACCTCGTGGTTCTGATATTGAGCAGTGATACCAGTGCCAACTTTTTAATCACTGCAATGTATTTGTGGATGAAATAAAATAATGGCGGGCTGGAGAGATGGCTCGGAGGTTAAGAGCACTGACTGCTCTTCCAGAGGTCCTGAGTTCAATTCCCAGCAACCACATGGTGGTTCTCAACCATCCATAATGAAATCTGGCGCCCTCTTCTAACATGCAGGTAGACACAATGAATAAATAAATAAATAAGTCTTTAAAAAAAGAAATAAAATAATGGCTGGAGGTAAAAGGAGATTGTCAGGAGTATTGACACTGAACGATTGGGCACAAGGGGAGTAATTATACTATTCCTTGCAAATATTTTCTGCAACACAAAGTTTAAAAGAAGCGTCAGTGGGTAAACTGTGGCAGTGCATCCAGAGTGGAGACGGTCTGTACACAGGACTTGAAGCTTATCTGGGATTTCTGGGTCTAAGAAGGGGAGCCTGCGCCAGGCGTTGATGGCGCACGCCTTTAATCCCAGCCCTCTGGAGGCAGAGGCAGGTGGATCTCTGTGAGTTCGAGACCAGCCTGGTCTACAGAGCGAGTTCCAGGACAGCCTCCAAAGCCACAGAGAAACCCTGTCTCAAAAAACCAAAAAAAAAAAAAAAAAAAAAAAAGAAAGAAAGAAAGAAAGAAAGAAAGAAAGAAGGGGAGCCCGCAGCCCTTGGACTCAGGAGAAGGGGCAGGAGGATCCTGAGAGAGGCCTTACCTTGTAGAGGACTTGCCAGTCACTGACCTTGGTGTGGGACAGCTCCATGCGCTTCAGGATCAGCTACAAACAGACAAAGGGACAGCCATGGTTTGCCATTTACTGTCTGATACCTCTCAAGAGGCCCACAGTCCAGGCTGGAGAGATGCTTTTCCAGAGGTGTGGTCCCCAGGGTCCACAGACGGAGGTTCACAAACACCCATACTCTAGCTTTAAGGAACCCACCATCCTATTATGGACTCTGCAGTCACCCATACTCACATGCAAATACTCCACACAGAGTCATCTGACTTTTGTTTTGTTTTTTTTGTTTTTTGAGACAAGCTCTGGCTGAACTGGAACTTACTATGTAGACCAGGCTAGCCTCAAACTCATACATGCTATACATGTATAAAATTAAAAATAATATAAATCTTAGGCTGGGCAGTAGTGGCCTACACTTGGGAGGCAGGTGGATCTCTGAGTTAAAAGTCAGCCTGGTCTTCATACCAAGTTCCAAGTCAGTTAGGACCACACAGAGACCCTGTCTCAAAAACAGTCAGGTGTGATGATGCACAACTTCATCCATCACTTGGGAGACAAAGGCAGGTGGATCCCTGTGAGTTCCCAGCCATACGGTTACATGGTGAGACCCTATCTCAAAACACAAAACAAATAAACTAAATTTTAATAAAATAAACAAAAGAAGCCCCAAGTTTTCTATAAGCCATCAGCCTCACTCACCCCCCCCTCCACCCTGGACTCTCGGCATCACTCCCGACTCTGCCATGGGGGCTCTCAGCCTCACTCCCCCGCCCTGACCTCTGCCATGGGGGTGCTCAGCCTCACCCCCTGCCCCTGCCCCTGCCCCGACCTCTGCCCTGGGCTCACAGGCACATTCTTGATGTGGCTCAGGAGACGGTGCGTCATCTGGGCTGTGTCCAGATTCTGAGGCATCAGAAAAAACTGAATGACATCCAGACGAGAATTGAGTTCCTTTAGCTCCTGAGTTGGACGTGTAAACCATAGCCTGGGGGTGGGGGGTTGGGATGGGGAAATTAGAAGCCACATCTCTCATCATCTTCATTTTTCCTGGAAATCTTCGGGGCGCGTGGTAATATGTGCCTGCAGCATGCTATAGGAATGTAAGTGCAAGGCCCTGTCTGTGTTCTCATGTTTGTATGTACTTGAGAAAATTGCTGGATGTCACTATGTCTATGTCTGTATGTCATGGGTTTGATGGGTGAGACCATGTGTCACTCATGTGAATATGTAATAGAGCATGTCAATATTTTAGAGCAAGAGCAGTGTGTTGTGGCATTTGTGTGCCAACACTACAGTTCTCTGTGGCTGAGTGGGAGAGGCTGAGTCAGTACGCGTTTGCTATCTGAATGCAGCTGTGACAGTATTTTAGGGCAACAGCACAGATGAAATTTCATCTTTCCATGGTTTTCCTGTGTAAATGCCTATAACTAATTCTCATTCTCTCTCCTACTCTCTTCTTTTCTTTCTTCTTCTGGCAATGTTTAGGGTTGGGTCAAGGCTTACTCATAATCCAAGCACCAAACTACTAAGCCACACCCCCAGCCTGCATTTTTTTTTTTGAGACAGGTTTCACATAGTTCAGGCTGGTCGCAAAATTGCCTGCCTCTCTGTCTCTGGTGGGATTAAACACAGGGGCCATCATACCCAACACATCTTACAATTTTTCATAATGGTCATCTTTTGTAGAGAGAGGACTTGGGGAGACATTGTGAAGGTGTTTCAATGAGTGGATCTGATTCATTAATGACTAGCGTGTACAAACATTACATCTTCTGTTGCCAGAAGTATTACCTGTTACGTTAAATAAACTATTGCATAGTAATAACGTCTCATCTGTATTTGTTTAATTCTGGGTGTGGGTTCTGTAAGAACTTTAGCCTGGGGGTTCTTTTCTACATTACAGGAAGCCATTACTCATGTTGTCTATGAGTTAGCGAGTGGAGACATGGGCCTCAGGATGCGTACCTCATCCCATTTAGCCCATAGCCAGTCATGTTCAGTCAGAACATCCCAAATTAGAATAAAACCAAAGATCCATTTCAGTTCAAGGGTGGGCTTTGGCCATCCCTGTTCTCCACAAAGAGGGCTTGGGTCATGGAAGTGCAGGCCGGGCTGGGAAGGTCTGGCCCCACTCGGCAGAGCACAAGTGTCCTTTAGGGGACTTTCTGATAGGACACCTGGATTTACCAGGCTTGTGTTCTGTTGATGGCCCTGATTTCACAACCGTGCTGGGATTAAAGATGTGTGCCACCACTGCAGGCAAGGTGCATTACTTTTGTTTACTCCTTCTTGTGGGATTTCCATCCATTTGGCCAATGACCTCTGAGGAAACAAGTCCTAGGGCGTGGTCTTGTCTGTATAAGTACAGCTTACGAGCTGGGGAGAGGGGTGGTGCTCTCTGGAGCTCTCTTGGCACTGGGAGCTGGAGCAAGAAGCAGAGGCAGCGCCGTTGGTGCTCTTCATCCGGACAGGACAGCGGCACGAAAGCAGCTGGGTCAGCAGCAGAATCTGCTTTGCTCTGTATCTGTGAGTTTGTCTTTTCCTTGCACCCCTCAATTGATTGGTTGTTAGATTTTTGTGGGTTCTCGATTCTGTGCTGCATTTGTTTAACTATGTAAAGATGTGCTGCCTCTGTTTCTCCCTGCCTGCCTAAGGCACCTGATTGGTCTAACAAAAAGCTGACCAGCCAATAGCTAGGCAGGAGAGGGATAGACAGTGTTTCCAGGTAGAGAGAAATACAGGCTCGGGAAGAGAGAAAAAAAGGAGGAGGAGAGAATGAGGAACACGCCTGGGGCAAGAAGCCAGCAGATGCCAGACAGACAGAGAAGCAGTAAAAAGTAAGAGCTCAGAACTCAGAAAGGCAACAGCCCCAAGGAAAAGAAGAGAACCAGCGTAATTTAAAACCACTAGCCAGAAACATGCCTAAGCTAAGGCTGGACACACAAAACTTAATAAGTCTCTGTGTCATGATCTAGGAGCTGGTTGGTGACCCAAAAGAAAAAGCCTGGTACTCGTCCCCAGTCCTTACTCTATTCCTCCCCTCTAAAAATTTACAGGTATGAGCCGGGCGGCTGTGGTGTAGTCTTTAATCCCAACAGAGGCAGAGGCAGACAGATCTCTGAGTATGAGGCCATCATGATCTACAGAATGAGTCCCAGGACAGCAAGGGCTACACAGAGAAACCCTGTCTTAAAAAAACAAGACAAATGTGTGTATTGTGGTATGTATGCAATGAGTGTGCAAGTATGTGCCTCTGAAGGCCAGAGGGTCTCAGACCCTGGAACAGAGCTCCACACAGTTGTTAGCAGCATGGCCTGGATGCTGGAAACTGAACAAGGATCCTCTAGAAGAGTAGCAAGTGATCACACACACACACACACACACACACACACACACACACACACACACACACACACACAGAGGCCTTGTAGCAAAGGCCTCAAACTTGTACTATATTCTAGACCCACTCTTTCCCAGTTCTGAGATTACAGGCATTTGCCAGGATGCCTGGCTCTCTCCATCTTTAGCATAATTCTCTTCTTCATGGGAAATTCTTTTCCTCCATGCTAGGCATGCTGATCCATTCCTGTAATACCAGCACCCAGGAGTCAGAGAGGGGGATAATCACAAGGTGAATTACAATCTGGGCCTTTCTAGCAAGTTTCAGGCAGGTCTGGGATACATAGTGAGACCATGTTTCAAACAAACCCTGTAAGACCTCCACATCCCCCTCCTATTCCTGCTTGAAATTCCGGATTTACATCTAAAGCATTGAAGAACGTGTGGATACTTGAATCACTCAGAGATCATCCTCAATCAGTCCACAGAGGAATGAGCTGCAGTGGGGTGGGTGGGAGGGGAAGGGGTCACCTATGAGCCTGTCTGGTAGCAAAGGTTTCTATGGACTCAGGTCTGGAGGCGATGTGGCCAGTGTGCTTGAGTTTTCGTACTTTGTTCTCTCTTTAAATAGTTTATCTACAAACTCACATGTCAGACACAGGCAACAGAGCCGGTCGGTGGTGGCGCACGCCTTTAATCCCAGCACTCAGGAGGCAGAGGCAGACGGATCTCTGTGAATATGAGGTCAGCCTGGTCTACAGACTGAGTTCTAGAACAGCCTCCAAAGCTATAGAGAAACCCTGTCTTGAAAAACAAACAAAAAACCAACAAGCAAACCAAAAACAGACACGGGCAACAGGAATTCACAAGCACAAGGCAACTGGCTCACTAAAGATTCTGACCGGACGTGAAAGAGCATCTGAGCACAGGAGCCCATCCACCTCTCGTGTGTGTGTGTGTGTGTGTGTGTGTGTATGTGTGTGTGAGAGAGAGAGAGAGAGAGAGAGAGAGAGAGAGAGAGGGAGAGTGTGTGTGTGTGTGTGTGCGTGTGTGTGTGTGCGGGCCTGTGGACGCTTCACCAAAAAGGTCAGAGCTAGTTTGACCTCAAGCATGAGACTAAATGTTGACAGGAGGGACTAGAGCTAGGAGAAAAGGATTAACAAGGAAATTCGGGATGTGAACCTGAAAACTAAAACCAAGGTGAATGGGGTACGATGATTGGTTTTAATCGTCAACTTGACAGTCTAGAATTATATCTGAGAATGTCTTAGTTATACCCACTGACGTGGAGAACTCCCCCACACTGTGAGCAGCACTCTTCTGGGTTTGGATCAGACTGAATAAGGAGCAAGCTCGTGAGCCCTGTCCTGGATGCACGCATGAGTCCATTGCTCTTTGCTCTTAATTGCAGACATAATGTCACTAGGGTCCTGTTGCTCTGACTTCCCACGATCATGTGACCTGGAACAGTGAGCCAAATAGTCCCTTTTTCCCCGTAAGCGACTTCCCATCAAACATTTTGCCTCAGCAACAGGAAGGACCATAAACACCTCACTACAACATACATATGCTAAGCTTTTCCTGTAATAGGGAAGCATCCTCTTAGCTACTACTTAAGACTTTTTTTTTTTTTTTGGTTTTTCGAGACAGGGTTTCTCTGTGGCTTTGGAGGCTGTCCTGGAACTAGCTCTTGTAGACCAGGCTGGCCTCGAAAAACACAGAGACCCTCCTGCCTCTGCCTACCAAGTGCTGGGATTAAATGTGTGTGCCACCAATGCTTGGCTTGGTTCACAACTTTTTGTAACTCTAGTTCCAAGGGGTCTGAAGCACTCTTCTGACCTCAGGGGACCAGGCACACAAGTTGTGTACAGACATACATACAGGCAAAATACCCATACACATTAAAAATGATAAATAAAAATGTTCCTTAAAAAATTAGATGGAGGCCATCCTGTGCTACATGAGACCCTCTTCAACAGCAAACAAAACAAAAATTATCCAGGTGCAGTGCACACACCTTTAGTCCTAGGAGACAGAAGCAGGGAGGCAGATCTCTGAGTTTGACGCCAGCCTGGTCTACATAGTGAGTTTCAGGACAGCCTGAGCTGTTACTCAGAGAAACCCTGTCTCTAAAAACAAAAACAAAAAATGATTCACACAACTCCTATACATTTGGCCTGACCATTGCATATTGTTACCACCTGTACTTTGCCTAGACACTGCAGGCTCAGAACATCCAGACTTCTTCCTGACACATTTTCCTGGGTAATAGCGTTAATGGCAGTGTAGCATCTCAAGATAGGAGCCTTGGATTGAAGCCTCTCGTTCATTCCTCCATATTCAGTTATTCCCTAATGCCTCTGTGTCTGTCCTGAAATCTCTTAGCCACCCTTCCTCCCTCTACACCAATATCTCATTCTGGCTATCAGGGTCTTTTTTTTTTTTTTTTTTTTGGTTTTTCGAGACAGGGTTTCTCTGTGGCTTTGGAGGCTGTCCTGGAACTCTCTCTGTAGACCAGGCTGGCCTCGAACTCACAGAGATCCGCCTGCCTCTGCCTCCCGAGTGCTGGGATTAAAGGCGTATGCCACCAACGCCCGGCTTTTACTTAAAACTTTTTAAATTTTTTTTGTTTTATGCACGTTGGTGTTTGCCTGCGTGTATGTCTGTGTGATGGTGTCAGATCCCCTGGAACTAGAGGCACAGGTTCAGGTGCTCCTTAACCTCCATGGCATCTCCAGCCCTATTTGAGAAGACTTTTTAAGAAGTGCAGTGGCAAGCCCAGGCCTCTGTCATGATGGCATGTGGTTAGAAAGAACAGCTGATGTGGAGAAGAGACCAGAGGCAGAGACCACTCTGGAGGTAGATGCAATGCTCCTGATAAAGACCCTGGGTTGGGCGTTGGGGAGAAGTCATTTTGAGATGGGGCATGTCTAGTTTTGTTTAACTTTTTTTTTCTAGACTGCAGATGGGCCTCACACTGAATTGAGTATCTTACCGAGCCATGCCCCTAGCTTTTGGTGTTAAATTATCTTGCAATGCATCCATAGTCTGTGGTTAAGTTTCTGCTGTGTGTGTGTGTGTGTATCTGTATATTATTCATGAGTATGAGTGCACCTGTGCTCACAACTTAAAATGAGGATAATAGGAGCCGCTACCCTGGGCAGTAGTTATGGCTAGTATTGCTGAATGAATACTTTGCCATGGCCTCGGTATCCAGTGTGTGTGAGACACACTCACCTGAGCAGCTTCTGTCCCCACCTACAGCGGCATCTGTTGAGGATCCCTGTGGGGTATGCACAGGAGTGAACTTGTTACAAGGAGACCTAGATACAGGACACAAAGGCAGCCAAAGTCAGGGCCTGGCCACAAATTGGGGCCTGAGCTATGTGAGGCTGGGAAAAGCCAGAAAAATATATAAATGGACATAGTCACAACTCACAAAAAGCCCAACACAATATGTAAACTGCCCAGTGAGAAACTGGACATCTAGAGCCATGTCCCTAATATACCCTAAAACCAGAGGACCCAGATAAAAACCATACAAATCAGTTACACAACTCTCCTCGGTGGACTGACAGGTACTAAGTGCCCAATTAGTGGGCACCTCGTACAGAGCCAGAGACTGAACATAATGTTGGTCAGAGCTGACACGCACGCTACACTGCATGGCTGGCTATGGAGCGCAGGCTGGGAGTGGGCACAGAGGCTGAGAACCCCGGGCTGCTGTGGAGAAGGCGTCTGGCACTGACAGGACAGCAGGAAGAGTCAACAGCGTGTCTAGCAGGGTTTCAGTGTGGGGTGACCAACAGTGCACACCTACCAAAGAGGCTGAGCCCCTCCTTTAGCCCGCTGGCTACTTTGTAGACTGAGGGATGCGCCTCGCTCTTGAAGATCTGCAGAACGCTGTCACAGAGAAATGAAGACGTCTGGATCATATGCATGTGTGTGCATATTTGTTTTATAGAAATCCCCTGCCTCTGCCTTCCAGTGCTGGGACTGACGGTGAGCCACCACACCTGCCTGTGCTCACAGATTTGGTGCAGGTGCACATGCTCCCACACATATGTGAGAAGCCAGAGGACACAAGTGGCTGTCCTGTCTCTGTCTCTTTCTCTTTTGAGACAGAGTTTCTCACCGAACCCAGAGTCCCACATCTTCTTTGCCTAAGATGGCAGCCAGAGATGCCAAGGAATTACATAAAACTCAGGTCCAAACTCAGATCCTCAATCGTGAGTAGCAAGAGCTGTTGCTCACTGAGCCATGCTCCTATTGGCACTTTCGTTGTTTGAAAATAATAATAAAGGGAGTGGGGAACTGAGGCAGGTTTCTCTGTGTACTGTGTGTAGCCCTGGCTGACTTGGAACTCGCTAAGTAGACCAGGCTGGCCCTGAACCCTGAACTCCCAGAGAATTCCTGCCTCTGCCTCCTGAGTGCTGGGGTAAAAGGCATGCGCCACCACCCCTGGCAAGAATAAGTTGTTTTTTTTTTTTTGGTTTTTCGAGACAGGGTTTCTCTGTGGCTTTGGATGCTGTCCTGGAACTCACTTTGTAGACCAGGCTGGCCTCGAACTCACAGATCCGCCTGCCTCTGCCTCCCGAGTGCTGGGATTAAAGGCGTGCGCCACCACCGCCCAGCAATAAGTTTGATGTGAGGTTTATTACTCAGTTTTAGATTTGCCTCAGCTTCTCTGCTTAGGAAAATGAAAAGAAAGCCAGGTGTGATGGCGCACACCTTTAATCCCAGTCCTCGGGAGGCAGAGGCAGGTGGATCTCTGTGAGTTCAAGGCCAGCCTGGTTTATATAGTGAGTTCCAGAACAGTGGGGCTATGTAGAGAGACCCAATCTCAAAAAAAAAAAAAAAAGTAAATGGCAGGTTGGAGTTGTCACTTCAGTGAGCAGAATGCTTGCCTAGCAGGCACCAGCCCCTCGTCCATCTCCAACATAAAAAGGAAGGAAAGGGAGGCCATGCTTTTGTGCTTCAGTTCCCCCCTTCCCCCCCCATCACCCTCCCTTTCCTTCAAGGAGAGAGATCTGAACAGCCAGGATTAGACTAGAGCCTCACTGGGATTCTTAGAGCATTAGGCTCAACCCTTGTGTTTCTGGAGGCGGAGTTGGCAGTCTGTGCACCTCACCTGTAAGTGTCTTGATCTATGCTCACCAGGTGGGTCCTGAGGACAGAAAACAAGTCAAAGGGAAGGTGCCTGAGGCACGGCAGCTCACTGCAAGCCCCGCTCCCTGGGCTCCCTTCCCTCAGCACCGCCCAGTCTTCTCCAGAGCAACAGGCCCTGGTTCTCCCGTGTCCCAGCACACGTGTCCCCTGTCCCCACCCCTCCCGTGTCCCAGCACACGAGTCCACTCTGCTGGCTTACTTCTGAGACCTTCCAGTCCCTCTACATCACCTACAACACAAATTTCTTAAATCCCAGGATGGGGACGCTGACACCATAGTCTTCCAGTTCCACCCCGACCCTTCTTCGACTCAGGAACTTGAGCAGTCCTCCAAGTGCCCGGACCTGGGAGGGGTCAGTAGTGCAGTTGGAATAAAGCCTAATGTTCCAGATGCTGGACAACACCAACACCAACAAAGACTGCCATGTTCCAGGGCTGGGCCAGTCCAGCCCAGAACTCAGCCTGGGACTGGGAGCTCATGCCTTCCCCAGTGACGCAGCTCACCGTGAGGACACAGTCAAAGGGAATGATGGAGGAGAGGAAAAGGACTTTCTCAGTGGCAGTCATGGACTCTGGGATGAACGAGTAGTTTCCAGAAAGGAGACGCTGCTTGCTTGTCTCTGGACCTATTTCAGGGAGTGAGGAGAGAAGAGTCTACAAATCCATTTTCTCACACCAACTTAACAAGAGCAAAAGCAACCCAAGTCCACAGAGCTTGTTAAGGGAAGCTAAAGCAAGAACCAAAAGTGCACTCTTCATTCTTTATGTGACGTAGATGTCTGGCTATACCCACAACCTGGGAAAGACAAGTGATGTCTGGGATTCTGGATTTTCTAGGTCAAAAAGAACGTATGATAAAGGAAAGAATAGTCCGAATGTCCAGATATCTAATTAGGACAGAACATCCCCTGTCCTTTTTGTAACCCTGGGAGTTTGCCAAGTAGGAAGTGTTTTATGGTCATCAGGAACCCATTGCAATAAACCACTTTAGCTTAAAGGGAGAAACTCCAACATTCGAGGCTGGTTGAAAGTGTCATCTCCATTTTCTGTGGGGGGGGGCATTCCTAACATAACTAACCTGATGGCTTCTCAATAAGTTGGGTTATTAATGATAAGGTGCAGGAGAAATCTCGGGGACATGGGTGATGGGGCATGAGAGGCATTTTCAGATAAGAACAGACGGGGTGGGGGGGGATCTCTGATGATGGGGTGGATTAAGGGAGGGGACAGGGCCACTGGGATGGGGTCTGGCAACGTAAAGGAAGCAGCTACCGAAATCCACGCTCGGCAGAAGTACAACCTCAGGTCTCTGTGGCTCTCTGTGCTCCTGGGAGGCTGTGGAAGCAAAGGGGCGTGGCTGTGTATGCTTCAATCCCGTTCTCGCCCGTCCTGCCTTCCAGTCAACACCAGCCTCCCGGTACTCCACACTTTAGTTCCATTCCCCCTTCCTGATGCCACCCTTACCAAGTTTCCCCAGGAACCGGGTCATGGCCTCATCCTGTTTGGCGCTTGTAACGACAGACTGGGGGTTGACTTCATCCAGAACTTGAAAAGAGAAGGGACCAAACGAGTCAAAGGAGCTCTACACACGACAAAGAGGAAACGGGCAGCTCTCTCTTCTTGCCACTAGAGAATTTATTTTCTCAGCCAGGCACGGTGGCACACGCCTTTGATCCCAGCACTCGGGAGACAGGCCAGTGTCTGAGTTCGAGGTCAGGCAGGCCTATGTAGTGGGTTCCAGGACAGTCAGAGCTGTCTCAAAAAAACAAAAATCAAACAAAAATAAGAGGATTTATTTTCTGTCAGAGAGTGCTTTGCACCGGCTGGGAGCAGTCTGGAAAGAGATTTAGTCAAGTGGTAATTCTGCAGGGGTGGGTGGGGGGAGGCGTCCTGGAAAAGACCACTAAAGTCATGAACGGCTTGCCAGGGACTAAATCTACAGCATTTAACATAGGGCAAGTTCCCGATAAAGTTGCGTTGGATACTCAATTCCCCGGATTACTACAGGCGACTATAAAGTAGACTCAGTCACGTAAAGGACGTAGGCGTGACACAATTCCAAGCCCAGAGAAGAGGAGTCAGGGGCTCTGTCCCACCTCTCTGGAGAAGCTTCAGGCTCTCGTTGTCTGGGGCATCGGGCATGAAGTGGATAGTGGAGTCGCTCGTGTCGTAGTAAGCGATGCCCAGATACCCCGAACTCCACAGCACGCACAGATGGATCTGCCCCACGAGGGAGGAGAGCGGTCAATATGGGGACCCCTGGGGGAGGGCGTGGTCTGGCCATCCCTTATTATGTTAGTCTCGGAGACGGGCACTGGGCACCTCAGTCGACGTGAAACAGGTTCGCGCCCGGCCCTTCCCGCCCCTCCCTCCCACACCTCGGCGGGCGGCTCCTCCTCCTCGTCCTCCTCCTCCTCGTCCTCCTCGATAGCTCCGGGCCCGGGCATTGGGGCCTGTGGGCTGGGGCAGCTGGCCGAGGACATCCCGGGGGCGGGTCCCGGCGGCGTCCGGCCTGGGGTCGCTCTGAAAGCCATGGGCTCGGCGACTCTGAGGACGGGGGACGAGAGGGAGGTTCAGAAGCCGCCCGTTTCAGCGGGTGGCGGCTGGGCGGGGCGATTTGCGCACCGCGTCGCGGCTGTCTGAGGTTCCCCGCGAACCGGCCCCGAGTCACCGCCCCACCCCTCATCTCTGTCACTCGAAGTCGTGCTTCCGGCGGGCGAGCGTGCGGGTGGGGAGGGGGTGGGGCGGGGAGGAGGGGTCGGAAGGAGCGGGCCGTCGCGTCAGCTCTCGTTTCTGCCACCCACGCCCCGGACAACCACAGCCGCGCTCAACTCGCGGCGTCTTCCCGCCTTTCCCGTCACCTCAGAGGCGACGAGCGACCTCCCTGACCAACGGCCGCCAGCCTGGGGAAGGGCGAGCGGATCTGGGGGCGGGGAGGGGCGGGGCGGGGAGGAGGGCTGCGCGCTCGCCCCGCCCTCTCAGTCGCCATTGGCTGGGGGAGCCTGTCTCGCTATCCAATAGGAAGAGAGGGAGGGCCCAGCGCCGAGGGGCACGGTCTAAGCGCTGATTGGCTCGTCGACGATAGGGGCGGTGCCGGCGCGTTCAAACTTCCCGCCCTCCGCCGTTGCTAGGCAGCCGCGCCTCCCTCCAGAGGCCAGGGTTTCCGAGCTCCGGCTGCTGCCGGGGCGGCGCCCGCCGGCCACAAAGTCGCCGCGCGAGCCTGAGTCCCAGTCCGGGGAAAGGGTCTGGGCGGTGGGGGAGCGCTACGGCGAGGAGGCCGCCCTTAAAGGGCCAGCGCCTTATTCCTCCGGCCTGGAGCGTGGCGAGAAGCAGCACTAACCCCGCCTATGCCCACGGCAACCGCTCTGTTGATATTTGCACCCGCCGAGTTAATATTTATAAAGCCAGAGCCTTATTCCTCCGGCCTGGAGCGGGGCGAGAAGCAGCACTAACCCCGCCCATGCCCACGGCAACCGCTCTGTTGATATTTGCACCCGCCGAGGTAATAGTATTTATAAAGGACTCAGAGCAGCGTCTGGCTAACAGTGTCTTAAGACAAATAACGGAAGTGAGAGCCGCCTCTCGTTTCAACCCTGCTTCTCCGCCCGCCCCGCCACACCCCGCCGGTTCCCTGAACGCAGGGGGCCACCCAACGCCCACAAGTGCGCTGCGACGGGACCCCGATTACTTCGGGACCTCTGGAGAGGAAGCGCAGGATCCGAGTGAGTGACTCTGCGTTCTGAAAAGCAGACAGAGTGAGATCACACGCGTTCACCCCTGCCGGTTTGTGTCCGCACCACAGCCCGCTCACCCCTAAGGACACTGGGTATCATAATTCATCGATGGTAGAGCTGGGTGGGAAAGAAAAGAAATGCAGCTTACAATAAATAATTAACCCTTTAGGGCTGCCTCGTCGCCTTAAATTCCATCCCCAGGGACTCACACGGCAGGAAAAAAAAACTAACTCTCAAATTGACCTCCGACCTCCACACCTGCGGTGTTTGTGCCCTTACACACACACACACACACACGCACACCACTATAAATACATGATTTAAAAACTGTCCCAGCGCGGTGGTGGTGCATGCCTTTAATCCCAGCACTCGGGAGGCAGAGGCAGGAGGATCTCTGTGAGTTCGAGGTCAGCCTGGTCTGTAGAGAGAGTTCCAGGACAGCCTCCAAGACAATACAGAGAAACCCTGTCTCGAAAAAACAAACAAACAAACTGTACGAGCTATGCTGAAATAAGAAGGTCCTGTCTAGGGCCCAGGGAGACGGTGTGAGGTGACCGGGCTGCTCAGTGACTGGAAAATCCTCTCCACAGCGGAAGGTGGGGAGCAGAGCTAAGGGCTGGGTTAATGGTTACCCTTGGCAGATTGTTGAGCAATGGAGCTATGGAAACCTGGAGGAGGCTGGCGACAGCTCTGAGGCGTGGCAGGGAGGGACCCACCTTCCAATCTGGGCGGGGAGGAGATTAGGGACTGGTTACCAGGACACGGAAGGCATGGGGCACAGGAGGAGACCCCAGCTGAGAAGAGGGAGCCGTGGAAAAGCAGGGCCAGGCAGATGAGATGGGAGCAACACAGTTTTCTGAAGCAGTCCTGGCTTCAAATCCAGGAGGCACCCCCAACCCCCCGTGGTCCCAGGAGCGCGTGGCCTGAAAAGGAAGGCAGGATCCCTGGAGGGTGGCCATCCAGGCAGCCCCAGACAATATTGATGATGGGGCAGCCGAGGCTCCAAAGACTAGCAGGGGCGAGGCTGTCAAGCCTATTGGAGACCAACTAAAGCTTCTCCCCGTGAGATCAAGGTTGTGCAGGTCTGTGGTGGTCACCTACCTACCCGTGGGGAAAACGGAAGAGTCTGGGAAATCGGGCATCCTTGAAATCACCTTGTTCGTCAGTAGGGAAGGGCCCCTGTGCGGATTTTGAGGGTCGACATGATTGGGAACACACACTTTAGGGATGTCCAAAGGTCCAAATACCAAGAATATTCTGCCTTTCTGAGGAGGAGATCCCCGCCCCCATTCCCCAGGAGAAAGCTCCTGGAAGAGGAAGCTAAGAGGAAACCACTAACTGCTAGTTTCCAGCAACACATGCACCTCGAAGTCTCAGTTTCCAGCCCAGTTTTGTTTCTAGGTCTTTCTAAGTCCAGCGTGTTTTTCTCCAAATGGAGTTCTTTTTTGGACAGTAGAAAAGGAAGCGCATGGTCGGACAGTAGAACGTGCAGGCTGGAATACTGGCAGACATATTTTAGATTAAACAACAACAACAAAAATAGGTTGTAACGTTAGATAGCAACTCCAAAATCAAGCCTCCAAGGGGAAAATTTACTTTTCCTCTGCCTCCTTGTTTACTTAGTGTTCCGATCTGTCTGACCTTTGCTTTCTTCTCACGACACCCCACCCATGCCAGGATGAGCCCCAGTGTTATCCTGGTGCCGGGATAACCCCCCTCCCGTCTCCAAGGCAACCTTTACCAGCCGGAGGAGGGGAAGGGGCCCGGGACGGGGAAGCCTAAGCGTTGACAGGCTTCCAGAGGACCGCCCCCTGCCGTGAAGCCTGGGCTCGGCTTCCTGTTTCCGTCGAATCAGGCCTCCGGGTCTCCCAGTTGGTGCCTTTCGCCAATCCACAGATCGCAACCTCAGTGTCTGCTTCCGTGTCCTCCTGCACACACAGACACACGTACACACACAGACACAGAGACAGACAGACAGACAGACAGACACACACACACACCCCAGCAGACTGGCTGGAACGCAGAACGCTCCCAGCCTCCAACCCCGTTTGTGCACCTCGGTGTGTTTCCCTGTGGGAGAGCGGGCCGCCCTTCTCATCCATGAGGCGGGGAAACTGAGGCACGAAAAAGGTGCTGTGTTCAGGAAAGGTCAGAGAAAAAGCAGGGGAGCCCCCCTCCCGCCCCGGGCCTCCCTCCTAACACCCCTCCCTTACCCTTACTCTGGGCCTCCGTCCCTCCCTCTCCGGTCCCCTCCCCAGGTTCAGGGCGGGGCCGGCCGGTGAGTCAGCTGCTCCCTGAGCTCAACGGGAGGGGACCGAGGTGGAGAAAGAAGCTGGGTGTGGGGTGCACGGGGCCGGTGGGGAAAGCCGTGTGCTGGAGCGAACCAGAAGGGTCGGATCGGACTCGGGGTGCGGCCCGAGGGGCAGCGCGGAGCCCGGAGGAGAGGATCCCCGACTGTGAGACCCGCCTTCCCCGGCCCCTCCCAGCTCCCCCAGCGACGGCTGCTTCCTGGTCCCCGACGCAACCATGGCCGAAGAGCAACCTCAGGTCGAGCTGTTCGTGAAGGTAGGAGCGCCTCTTCCTTCCGCCACCCTCGGGATTCCTGCAAGCCAACCCTCCCGTCCTCCAGCTCCGGCCCTAACCCCCGCCCGGTTCCTCGTTGACCCCAGCCCCGATGCTGTCTCGCTGGGGGAGAGGGGGGCAAAACTTGTGAGACGGGAATGAGAGTTCTGGACTCGCCCTGGAAAGTTTGTGGGAGAGGCTCCCAGCAGCCTCGAGGAGACCGAGTGGGGTTTCAGGAGCGAGGGACAACTGAATGGGGTGTGGCGCGCGCGGTCCAGGGCTCCAGAGGACCCAAGGGCTGAGAAGGAGACGGTGGCGGGGCCTGAGAAGGGCATGCGGCCCCAAGAAAGAAAGAGAGATGGGCACAGAGAGAGAGAGAGAGAGAGAGAGAGAGAGAGAGAGAGAGAGAGAGAGAGAGAGAGAGAGAGAGAGAGAGAGAGAGAGAGAGAGAGAGAGAGAGAGAGAGAGAGAGAGAGAGAGAGAGAGAGAGAGAGAGAGAGAGAGAGAGAGAGAGAGAGAGAGAGAGAGAGAGAGAGAGAGAGAGAGAGAGAGAGAGAGAGAGAGAGAGAGAGAGAGAGAGAGAGAGAGAGAGAGAGAGAGAGAGAGAGAGAGGCACAGGGAGAGACAGAGAGAGAGAGGGAGAGACAGAGAGAGAGAGAGAGAGAGACAGAGAGAGAGAGAGAGGGAGAGACAGAGAGAGAGAGAGAGAGAGGCAGACACAGAGAGATGAGCACAGGGAGAGAGAGAGAGAGACAGAGAGAGACACAGAGACAGAGAGAGAGAGACAGAGAGACAGAAAGAGAGAGAGACACAGACACAGACACAGAGACACAGACACAGAGAACGAATCTGGCGGGACGGAAGCAGTGTGTCCGTCCGCACAGGAAAGGAAGGACCTTTCAGGAAGCTGCAGGTTGGGTCGCAGGAAGCCAGAGACTAGAAGGCAGGAAGGGGACTAAAGTTTAGTTACAGTTGCTAGTGAGGGGAGGGGAAGAGAGCTCCTAAGGGGACCGGAGAGCCCCTGGGCTGGTGGGTGGGTGTGGTCAAGGAGAGAAGGGGCTCAGCTTTTGGGATTGGAAACCCCTGGCTGCAGCCCACTGTCTACTCAGGCCTGTCCCCTCCGGCCCCGCCCCTCCCCCTCCCCCTCCCTCCCCCCTCTCCCCCCCCCCTTGTACACATCCTCCCCACCTTCCGCTTACTCCCCCACTCTGTTCCACTTCTGGTCTGTGCGTGTCTTGTCTCTGTCGGGTCGGTTGTGTCCCGCCTGTGTGACCGTGTGTGTGTGTGTGTGTGTGTGTGCGCTGTCTGTTTCTCCTTTTTGCCGGGGTTTCCCTGGCACCCATTCCTGCTTCCTTGGCCCCCGGGGAAGCCAACTGGAGCCTGGACCCGCCCCTTAGGTGTGGTCCCCACCTCACACTCGCCTCCGGAGGCTTTTTTCACATTTATTTATTCCTGGGTCAAACAATGCTGCCGAGATTCTGGCCTTGTGTCCTTCGAGGAGGATCTTGGAGAACAGAGCTGTCAACTAGGGGACCAGCAGTGAGAGTGTAGGTTTAGGGAACCGTCTGGGTGGCCCCAGTTGCCTCGGCCTGTGTCTAGGTCCCTGCCCCCACTTCCTTGCCAGGAAGGAAGCTGCCGAGGCCTGAAGACACAGAGATGAATCACCCTCGGTCTGGGGGGGAGGTGTCCTTTGGGGGATGAGGTCACCTGCATCCAGTTGAAGAGTTGCCCCCTTTGTTAGGCCCTCCATATCTCTCAGGTGAGGTTGAGGTCCACTGGAGTGCCCGCCCAGCCTCCAGGAGCGGCTTGGATGGAGGTTTAATGATTGCGGACCCTGGTTTCCAGCCCCCTTCACCCCCGCCCCCAGCCCTTCCTAGTCTCTGCCCCACTTGAGAACCCAGGAAGGAGTCAAGATCTAGTATTCAGTTCCAGCCCCACCGAGTCCCCTACTCTTTGCCTTTTGGATTCAGGATTCTCCAAGCTTGCCAAGATGTAGCTGTTCCTTTGGCTCCTCCCACCTGTCTATTGCTGGGATGCCATGAGCCTGCCTTTGCTGGAAATTTACCCATTGATCCTAGGTTTGACCCGGCCCCAGAGGGGGAAAATAACTCAGCACTAGGGGTGCCTCAGAGAGTGCAGCAGTGTGTGTATGTCAGAGAATCGCCTGGTAAGGATGGGGTGCACCAGGCCTAATGCTGGGCTGGGGTTGCTTTTCAGGCTGGCAGTGACGGGGCCAAGATTGGGAACTGCCCCTTCTCCCAGAGACTGTTCATGGTGCTCTGGCTCAAGGGAGTCACCTTCAACGTCACCACCGTGGACACCAAGAGGTGGGCCCACTTCCGTTCCTCTAAACATCCCTTGTGCAAATGCGTGCGCAGATGTACGCACACGCTAACGCACGCGCTAACCCACGCGAGCGAGCCCTTCTGCCTTAAAGCTCAGCGGGGACAAATGGACTTCTCCTGCATCTCGGCGTCCCTGTCTCTGTCTCTGATGCCCTTTTCCTCTCTTGACGCCTGGCCCCTTCTCCAGACGGACCGAGACCGTTCAGAAACTTTGCCCGGGCGGACAGCTCCCATTCCTGCTGTACGGCACTGAAGTACACACAGACACCAACAAGATCGAGGAATTCCTGGAGGCCGTGCTGTGCCCTCCCAGGTACAGGGGCATTGGGAAGAGGAGACGGAGCTGGGGGGCTTTGGAGAACAAAGATGGAGGGAAGCGGTAGGGCTGAGTCCCCTCCAGAAAGGGCTCTACCTTCTCCCTCCCGCTGCCTTCCAGGTACCCAAAGCTGGCCGCCCTGAACCCTGAGTCCAACACCTCGGGGCTGGACATATTTGCCAAGTTTTCTGCCTACATCAAGAACTCAAACCCGGCACTCAATGACAGTGAGTCTCGCGGAGCAGAGGCTTTGGTCCTGGAAGAGCCTCCTGGTTAAGAGGCACCAGAGGCCCCTGGGGTTTGGCTGTCAGGGCGCTGGAGCAGATGTTCTCAGACCCCTCCTGGACCTCCATTGCAGCTTCCCCTCTGCTTCTCTGCTGTCTCATTGCCAAGACTTTTGGGGGGGTTGGGGGTTGTTTTGTTTTTAGAGATTTTTAAAATTTATTTTTATGTATGCGAGTTATTTGCCTGAATGTCTACCTGTGCTCAGAGCCTGAGGAGGCCAGATGACAGTGTCAGCTTCCTTGGGGCTGGAGTTACAGATGTTGGGAATCAAACCCCAGGTCCTCTGGAAGAGCAGCCAGTGCTCTTAACTGCTGAGCCTTCTCTCCAGCCCCAGGTTCTCCTGCTTATACAGCATGTGCTGGTACCCACCAAACCATCTCCCCTCCCTCTAGAATTGTTTTGTTTTTGTTTTCTAGACGGTGTTTCTCTGCTTAGTTCTTGGAACTCGCTCTGTAGACCAGGCTGGCCTCAAACTCACAGAGATCCACCTGCCTCTGCCTCCCTAGTGCTGGGATTAAAGGCGTGCGCCACCACCGCCTGGCTCTAGAGTTCATTTTTTTAAAGATTTATTTATTTATTACATATACAGTGTTCTGTCTATATGCCAGAAGAGGACACCGGATTGAATTGTAGATGGTTGTGGGCCACCATGTGGTTGCTGGGAATTGAACTCAGGACTCCTGGGAGAGCAGTCAGTGCTCTTAACCTCTGAGCCATCTCTCCAGCCCCTCTAGAGTTCATTTTTAAAGTGCACCTTCATGTATGCCCCCCACACGCCCCTACATGTACTGCAGCATTACCAGACTTGCAGACAGTTTTTGTTGTTGTTTTACTGTTTTTTTTGTTTTTTGTTTTTTGTTTTTTTTGGTTTTACGAGACAAGGTTTCTCTGTATTGTTTTCGAGGCTGTCGGTCCAGCCTGGCCTCGAGCTCACAGAGATCCACCTGCCTCTGCCTCCCGAGTGCTGGGATTAAAGGCGTGCACCACCAATGCCCGGCTGTTTTACTGTTTTTTACATAACTTTATTTTGGCTTTTGGTGGAATCGAGTTGGGTTGATTCTGAGAAGGCCTCTGCACCTGTCTAAATCTGCTTGCAGATCTGTAAGTGGGATAGCATCCATTTCCTGGGCTGACTGAGATTTTCCTTGTAGATTGGTTAGACTAGGAGGTTGAGGCGTGATTCAGCGTGCGGAGCTTGGCTAGTGTGTGAAACCCTGCACTCAGTCTCTAGCGCTTGGGGGAATAAGTCACAAGCCGGGGCCTGGAGAAGTGGCTCGGTCTATTAGTAGGGCGCTTGCCACGCAAGTATGAATACCTGAGTTTGGATGCACAGCGCCGGGTGAAATTCCAGGCAGGATGGGCAGCTACTCTAACCCTGGTGCTGAGGAGGCAGAGACAGGAGGAGGCTTAGATGGGGGCCGTTTAGTCAGACCGGTGAGCTCTAGGTTCAGGGAGAGACCTTGTATAAAATACAGTGGGGACTGGAAAGATGGCTAAAAGCACTCATGGCTCTTCCAGGACAGTGTCCAAAACAATACAATGAAACCCTGTCTCAAAAAACCAAAAAAAAAAAAAAAGAAAGAATTCACGGCTCTTCCAGAGGACCAGGGTTTGGCTCCCAGCGCCCACGTGACAGCTCACAGCTGTCTGTAACTCCAGTTCTTGGGAATCTGACTCCCTTTTGCTGTCCTCCTCAGGCTCCTGCATGCACAGGGTATACATGCGCTCCTACAGGCTCACACACTTGCACTTAAACAAAAATATACACAGAGATCTGAAAGAAGGGAAAGATGGAGTCATCGAGAAAAACACTGGGTATTGACCTCTGACCTCCACACACATGCAGACATCTGGACACACACATCTTTGACACACAATCTAACAATAGCATACATGGTGCTGTTGGGTTTTTTTCTTTTTTAAATCAGGGTCTCACACATGCTCAGTAGGTGCTTTACCTCTGAGCCGTGTCCGCACAGCTCGATGGCTCTCCTTGGGTACACTGTCTCCCCAGTGTTGAAGGTTCTAATCAGCTTCCCCTCTCTCTCACAGACCTGGAGAAGGGGCTCCTGAAAGCTCTGAAGGTTCTAGATAATTACTTGACATCCCCCCTCCCAGAAGAAGTGGATGAGACCAGCGCCGAGGACGAGGGCGTCTCTCAGAGGAAGTTTCTGGATGGCAATGAGCTCACCCTGGCCGACTGTAACCTGTTACCAAAGCTTCACATTGTACAGGTGGGTAGTCACTGTGGTAGGAGGGGATGGAATGAATCTTTCAGGTAAAAGCCTCCTAAAATTACCTTTTATTTATTATAAGTGGGCGGGGCACAAATGGGGTGTGGAGGTCACAAGACAATTTGAGAGTCGGTTCTCTCCACCCACCGTGTGGATCTTAAAGACCCAACTCTTGGTCACCTGACTTAGCTGCAAGTGATTTCACCCAGTGGAGCAATCTCAGCATCCCAAGGTGACACCTTTCTTAGAACAGTTTCTGTAGGTTACCAATGGTGGACCCTGCCCAGGGACACCAGCCTATCGCTTAGTAGTTGTCAATTAGGAGAATTACACTGGATGATACAAGCCATGGTTATACAGTGTCTGATCAAGAGTGACACTCCACGAGGCCAGCCTGGTCTACAGAGTGAGTTCCGGGACAGCCTCCAAAGCCACAGAGAAACCCTGTCTCGAAAAACCAAAAAAAAAAAAAAAGAGTGACACTCCAGATTTTCTGTGGGCGCCTCTGTGTGTGTGTGTGTGTGTGTGTGTGTGTGTGTTTATGTTTATGTCCATGGCTACTTACAAGAAGGCTTTTCCTGCATCTGTATCATTGCCAAATCTAAAGTTTAAACAAAGCAGGATTGTCCAAAGTTTACACGGTAACTCTCTATGTAACTAGGCCTCCCATTTCCTCTCAAGGAAGACATGAGCTGCCGTTTCCCATGTTTCTGTCACAGCCTTAAAGCTACAGTGTAATTTAGTAACGCATAGGCCCATCATCACTGCCCCACCAACTGAATAATGAGTGGCCCTAGGGATTGAGAGAGCCGGGCAAAGTGGCTCCTTCCTGTGACCCTCAGCATTCTCCAGGCTGAGGTAGGAAGGCTGGTATCAGCCTTAGCTTCAGAAGGAAACACTGTTTCAAATAATGATGGTCTCCTCCCTCCTAAGAAAAGAAAAAAACAAAGAAGAGAAAAGAATCAAATGACATTCAATTAGTTCTTGCCCACAGGCGGATCTCTGTGAGTTCAAGGCCAGTTTGGTGTACAGAGCAAGTTCTAGGACAGGCTCCAAAACAATACAGTGAGACCCTGTCTCAAAAAACAAAACAAAACAAAAAAACCTTTTGTATCAAGGTAATGACACATGACCTGAAAATCAAATGAAAAAAGAGACAGAATTCACTACAAAAATAGTGTTACACTTTGCTAATTATCTATTCCCCTGTGCATGCATGCGGTCTTGAACTGGAAATGGAACCCAGGCCTAAGCACATCCCCGGGGGGTGAGGGAGTGGGACGTTTATTCATTTTTAATTACATGTGAGTACAGGTGCAGGGAGTTAGAGCCCTTGAACCTGGAGCTTACACAGCTTGCTGGAAATCAAGCTCTGGACTCCTACGATAGTAGTGAGTGTTCTTCGCTGCTGAGCTGTGTCTTTAGCCCATCTTTCTCTATTATTATTATTATTTTGGTTTCTTGAGACAGGGCTTTTCTGTCTAGTCCTCCCAGTGCTGGGATTAACGACATGCCTCACCATGTCGTTAGTTAAGGGGAGAAAAGTTGAACCACAGGTGTTTGGTCTGGAAAGGAGCAGGCTATTAATACTGGCGTTTCAGACAAATGAAAAGTCGAGCAAGCCATTCAAATGGAGCTTAGATATGAATCATAAGAAACCGGGCGGTGGTGGAGCAGCCTTTAACTCCAGCACTCGGGAGGCAGAAGCAGGCAGAGCTCTGAGTTTGAGGTCAGCCTGGTCTACAGAGCGAATTCCAGGGCTATACAGAGAAGCCCTGTCTCAAAAAACAAAAACAAGAAATAAAGAAGCAATTAGTAAGAGAACTCTAATGTGGCTGGGGGGATGACTCAGTGATGAAGAGCACTGGCCGCTCTTCCTGAGGACCCGGGTTCAATTCCCAGCACCCACACGGCAGCTAGCCATCTGTAATGCATCCCAGTGAATCTGACGCCCTCCTGTGGCCTTTACAGACACTGCACACACTTGGTGCACCATCATACTTGTAGGCAAAACTCTCATCCACATGAAATAAAAATAAATGTAAAAATAGAAATTTTAAAGACTTGAGGCACAGTTGGAACTTGTAGCTCCAACTCTCAGGCTGCAACAGAAGGTTCCAGAGACCGGGCCAACCTGGGTTACGTAGAGAGAACCTGTCTGAAAACAACAGTAACAAAAATATGTGTTAAGCGGCGAGGTAGTCTTGGAAGACCCTGGAGGAAGACAAAGTCCGACAGCTCCAGAACACAGCAAGCTCGACTCCCCTGGGGCTAACGTGCCAACTTCTCTCCAACGTCCAGGTGGTGTGTAAGAAGTACAGAGGCTTCACCATCCCAGAGGCGTTCCGTGGAGTGCATCGGTACTTGAGCAACGCGTACGCTCGGGAAGAGTTCGCCTCCACCTGTCCGGACGACGAGGAGATAGAGCTGGCCTATGAGCAGGTGGCCAAGGCTCTGAAATGAGCGCCTTCTGAAGGCTCATGCACCCTCTCTGCTTGCCATAGACGCTCTGCGAGGCTCCCGAATGGACACACTCCAGAATAGCCAGCGGTCAGGAAGTCCGGGGCACAAGTGTAGGCCTGGGGGGAGGAGTGGGGTAACGGATAGGCGACCAAGGGTAAATAACATTTTTATTGTGGGGTGGGGTGGGTAGGACCACGTGTTTCGGTAATAAAATACAGAATGAAAATCTGCTGTTGGTTTGGGTTTTCTTTTGTTTGTTTTTGCACAAACTGGGCTTACCGTGTAGTGGGCACGAAGGGTCTGTGGTCTTAAGCCCAGGGCATCTGCCAGGAATTAGGGAGGCAATGTTTGTGCAGGGGCTGCCATGTTCTGCATCCGTCCGTCCGTTAGAGGGCTGTTGTGCGGTCCACCTCCTGCTTGCAGCCCCGCAGCCGGATCTGAGTGGGCCTGGGCAGCGCTCTTGGGGCGGTGCCGGGAGTTCAGGGGGAGTGGAGGGTGGGTGGGCGGGTGGGCGCTCAGTCCTAGAGGAATGGGCGCGGCCTAGCAGGGCGGAATGGGCGTGGTCTCGGAAGGTCCCGCCCCGTCCCGCTTAGACAATGCCCCGGAGCCGCCAGACCATCGCGCCCCCGCCCCACCGCCGTGTGTGAGCTCGTCTACCCAGGGAAACCCCTCGAGAGCCCAAGCTCGTGGCCTCCCCAGCTTGAAAACTCGGGTTCCCATCTGCATCCAACTCTCTCCTCTGGGGGTGGGGCCAAGGCCGAAATCACAGCGCCGCGCGAGTGGTGGTGGCCGCTGGTGGTGAGTCTGGAGACGGGGAGGTGGCGGGGGGGACTGTCCCCGAACGGTATGGAGGGGCTGCAGTTTGGGGGCGCTGCGTCGGTGCCTGCGCCGGACGCAGTGTGAGAATAGCCTGCGCCTGGACGAGGAGCCGGGCGGGGTGGACTTTGGTGGGAGGTGGACAGGGGTACCCAGTCCTGAAGCCAGGAGGGGCTCCACGCCCCCCCTCCCCGGGCTCCCCGCCCTCCGGATTTCGTTTGAGACCTCTCCCAGTCCTCCGGGAGTAAAGTCTGGCTTGTGCCGGGTCGCTCGAAGGGCAGCGTGATCAGCCAGGGTGGGGAGGGAGGACGCTTAACTCCTCAGACCCGAATTCCTCCGGCCTGCCGCTCTCCTCCCTTTCTCCTGCGAGCATCCGTGGCTTCCACGTCCCGGGGGCCCCGATCCGCTGCCCAGCTTTCTCTTCCCGTCCCTTCGCCTCCGAGGGTCCCTGGCAGGACTTCGGGTCCCTCCCGCTGCGAGCAGCTGAGGGTTAAGGGGGCGGGGCCGCCGCATTTTTGGCGACTGAGCGCATCCTAGCGGCTGCCAGGAGGGGGCGCGGGGCAGGGACCGAGCGGAGCCCCCCGAGCAGGGGCAACAGGTGTTTGGGAGATTAAGGATCCGAGTCCCGTTCCTCGGGCGCCTCTTAAAGCAGATTCCCCGCTGAGAGGAGGCCGAGCGGGGTCCCCGGGGCAAGGAGGCCTGGAAGAGGGGGGTGGGGCAGAGTGGGAGGGGCGCCTGGAGGTGGCGGGAGGAAGACCCAGGGGCTCTTAACACTCCCCCACCCCTTCTCTTCTTTGCGTGTCTCTCTCCGCTGCTCCCCTCCCCCTCCCGTCTCTTCTCCCAGACGAGTGAAGCCAAAGAGAGAACTGACATCAGCTTGGCTGGAAGGGGCGTCTGAGTGGATGGGATGGGGACGCCGGGGGAGGGGCTGGGTCGCTGTTCCCATGCCCTGATCCGGGGTGTCCCCGAGAGCCTGGCATCCGGGGAGGGCGCGGGGGCTGGTCTCCCGGCTCTGGACCTGGCGAAAGCCCAGAGGGAGCATGGAGTGCTGGGAGGTAAACTGAGGCAGCGGCTAGGGCTGCAGCTGCTCGAACTGCCTCCCGAGGAATCCCTGCCGCTGGGACCGCTGCTCGGTGACACGGCCGTGATCCAAGGAGACACGGCCCTCATCACGCGGCCCTGGAGCCCAGCGCGTAGGCCCGAGGTGAGCGGCAGGGTGGGGGGTGTGTCCGTCGGGCGGGCGGAGGGGGACAGCATTGCGCGGGGGTTGGGGGGGACGGGGGCGGGCGGGCGTGGGGGCGGAGGCTGGATGTCTGGGGCTGACAGCAAAGAGGGAGCTGCGGATGTCCCAGCCCCTCCGCTCCCTTCTCCCAGGTTGATGGGGTCCGCCAGGCCCTGCAGGACTTGGGGCTCCGAATTGTGGAGGTGGGGGACGAGAGCGCGACGCTGGACGGCACCGACGTCCTCTTCACGGGTGAGACGAGACGACCCCCCCGGGGGGGGGCTGGGCAGGGAGAAGCAGAGTTTGGGAGACCAAGCGATCTCAGATCTTGATTCCAAACTCAACTCTGGCCTTCGAACCCGCGTGTCCTCCCGGGCTCAGGCCGGGAGTTTTTCGTAGGTCTCTCCAAGTGGACCAATCACCGAGGAGCCGAGATCGTGGCAGACACCTTCCGGGTGAGGAGCCAGGGTAGTTTGGGGAGAGCGCGCCGGCGGTGTGCGCGCCAGAGGGCTTGCTCTTGGGCTCCGGGTGCACCCTAAACCCTCCTGCTCGCCTAGAGCGCGTTTTTGTGTGTGTGTGCGCGCGCGCCAGAGGGCTTGCTCTTGATGCACCCTAAACCCTCCTGCTCGCCTAGGACTTCGCCGTCTCCACCGTGCCGGTCTCGGGAGCCTCACACCTGCGCGGCCTCTGCGGCATGGGGGGACCCCGCACTGTGGTGGCTGGAAGCAGCGAAGCTGCCCAAAAAGCTGTCAGGGTGAGGCGGGGACAGGGCTGGTGGTGGAGGCGTGGCCCACGAAGTGGGCGTGGCTCAGGGCAGGGGCGGCAGGGACTCTGGCTAGCTCCGGGGACTGCTCCCAGCCCTTGTCCTCACTAACACAAAGGGGACACCCTAGGAAACAAGGGGTGCAGAAGAAAGGAGTTGGGGGAGGGCCCGCAAAAGTAAACAAACGGTGGCTACGAGTGTTTGAGACCTTGAGACCGACTGTGCCCGGCACGGCTGGCGTTACATATTTGCTGTCATTATCGTACAAATGTAACCCTTGTCCCAAGCCTTTACTTGGTGCTAGGTCAGGCAAGCTCGGTTGTGGAGAACTCAACACCCACTTCCTCTCTCCAGGCAATGGCAGCTCTGACCGATCACCCCTACGCCTCTCTGACCCTCCCTGATGACGCAGCAGCTGACTGTCTCTTTCTGCGCCCTGGGTTGCCCGGTGCCACCCCTTTCCTCCTGCACCGTGGAGGTGGGGACCTGCCCAACAGCCAGGAGGTGAGGGAGGGGCAAACTCCACCAACCAGAGAAAGAAGTCTGTCTTTCCCAGTGGAAGGAAGAAGGGAGCCTTTCTCCAGAAACCTGGGTGGGGCCACTAGGAGCCGGCTGGGGGTGGGGGGGCGTGGCTCTGGTATCCACACCTTCGGTGTCCTCCCCACAGGGTCTGCAGAAGCTCTCTGACGTCACCCTGGTACCCGTGTCCTGCTCAGAACTGGAGAAGGCCGGTGCCGGCCTCAGCTCCCTCTGCCTGGTGCTCAGCACCCGCCCCCACTGCTGAGGGCCTGGGCTTGGACCACGTAGGGGTAGATTCAGGTAATAGAGGGTGGGGAGGAGGTAGTGGTGGAGACGTGCCCCAGGACAAGGGAGGACTTAGTGTGGAACAAAGGACAGGAGCCACTGGGCGAGTCCTCTCTGTCAAAACCAATAAAATGAAATGGGCCTTTTAGGTGGGGTTGTGGCTGATGTCTCACTGGGAGAAAGGGATGGGGTGGGGCTGGAACCTGAAGTCGGCCTCAGGCCTCTTTGTGTGCCCCAGGTCTCACTCCCCGGCCCTGTTGTAGGGCTCAGGTACCAAGAGGAGGAAGAGACTGTGGTGGGGAGTATTTATCCCAGGACAGAAAGGGGGATTGCATGATATGGGCAGATCGCTTTCTGAATGTCTGGTGATTCAGACCCTGGCAGATTGCCAGTCCACTTCCGTTCGATAAACAGCCGTGTTATCCAGGACACGCTTTCATCCACGTACTGAGGTTTCACAGAGAACTCAAGGGGTTAGGCAGACAGGTTATACTAAGACGGTTTTCAGGAGTCGCTTTCTATGAGAAGGACCAGAGGGGCTTCTAGGGCATCGATGTTTGTGCGCGAGTGGGCGAGCATTTGCGATGAGGAGCAGTATTCCCAGGAAAAGGCTACATTTGAGTGAAATCCCCAGGATAAATAATTACCGAGGCAGGAAGTGGGGAAGAGGGAGAAGGGATCTGGGAGATGGGATTTATCTCACTGGGGCAATGAGTGTTGGAATCTAAGGTGAGCTCGTGACACAGGAATTGACAGATTAGCCTAAGCGTACACAAAGCAGCACCTGTCCCCAAAGCCTGGCCCTATTCCCAGGAGAGGAGCAGGGGTGAATCCTCTGGAGGGCAGGAGGACCAGAAGGGACTGTGGGCCGCCCATGCGGTAACCATGAGAGTGCATTCTGGTGGCAGCACTAGACATGGAGACAGGTACAGATTTGGCAGTGACACTAAGATGAGACAGGCCTGTAACTCCCAGCACTGAAGGTGGAGACCAGGGGATCAGGAGTTCAAAGCCAGCCTCAGCTACAGGAGAGCCTGTTTTTAAAGGAAAGATGGGGGGGGAGCTTTGTAGATCCCTGTGTGGGAGAGGAGGACTTGGTGTCCTCTGACTCCCAGTTTCTGGCTTGGGCAATTTGGGTTGGTCATGAGACTGCAGAGGAGGGGCCAGGGAATAGTTTGGGTAATGACTAAGTCAGTTCTGATATGCCTTGTGTAAAATACCTGAGGCCAGCTGGACAGGGTGTGCTTGCTCTGAGATCTGGGTTGGAGGGAAAGGGGCCGGGGGCTGGCTCGCTTTCTAGAAGAGGAGTAAGGAGGAGGAAGAAAGAGGCAGAGTTGCAAGTCTTCTAGAAGGAAGGTTTTAGCAACAAAGTAAACCAGGGTTTAAAGAGGGGTGATCTAAGGCCAAGTCCGTGAATGTTACCATGGGGCCTAGGACATCACTGGCAACCTTACAGACAGCAGATGAGCAGCTGCAGCCGATGAGCCTGGGGAGTGGAGCGAGGCAGGAAAAGGAGGCGGGTGGTTAAGTTCAAAATGCGTGTTTGGAAAGGGGAACTGACGCGGTATCCATTGGAGTTAAGACTCACGACCGCTTGGCCATCTATAGAGAGGGCATTGGTGGAGAAGGAAGGGTGTTCTAAGGGAGTTGGTAGTGGCTGAGAAAGAACCGCTGCAGAGACAGCCCAGGTATCCAGACTGCTAACCGGTGCCTCTGTCCATGGTGCCCCCCCCCCCTTCCCCGGCTTTGAGAGCAAGGACTTCCCTTTAAACTACAACCGCATAGACAGTGGAGGCATCCTCGGGAACCACCGTGGACATCCGGCGGTGCCCCCCGAGGACAGAGTGGTCCAGATCAGCGTAGTGCAGGCTCTGAGGAGGTAGAGGGGGAAAGGCAAGATGGTCTTGGCGATCCGACCCCTTAGCTTAGAATCAACCCCTTCCTCCTCCCCGCCGTGGGCAGAGGAGACTGCAGCAAAGTCTGGGCTCCATCTTCCTGCATAAACCTCCGGGGTGCTGGGATTGCACGGCTGCCCCACAGCAACCGAGCTAGGCTCCCCCCCCCCCCTCTTTCTCCGGGATTCTGGCCTAAGGCCGTCCTATCCGCAGGCCCTTACCGGCTCCTGGTCCAGGTGGCCCGAGCTCTTGGACTCCTGTTCTAACGGCGGCTGCGGCTCAGCATTTGTGACTGGAGCTAAGTGGGAAGGGAGGGTCAAAGCTGAAGGATGAAGAGAAAATGACCAACTTCGTCTGCCCCCGGGCAAGGACTCAGACTCAAGAATTCAGGGCTAGGGATCGTTCGGGTAGGAGAGAGAGAAAAATGGGGGTGCCGTTAAGCTCACCAAATGTGGGGAGTGGTCGAGGCGGAGGCGGGAGCGGGGGCGGGGGCGGGGGCGAGCGCCTGTAAGGAAGTCCTTGGAGAGTCACCAATCTCGTCCTACTGGTTCCTCGGCCGCAGGCGGCGCCAGTGAGAGCTGTGCAAACTACAGTCTCCGACCAGCAAAACAACTTAGGTTCCTCCGGGACCAGGTCCCGCCCACTCTCTGGGCTTTCGGCCCCTACTAGTTTGGTTCCTGATGTCTGGGCTCCCTACTCCAGCCTGTGGCCTAGCACCCTGTAGTCTAGCACCCAACGGCTGACCTCTCGCCTTCCAGAAGCCGCCAAGCCTCCAGACACTTCTTGTTGTTTGCTAAGGTTGGGGTTCTGCCCCACATCTCTCCGTCCCCTCCCCCCCGCCGCCGTGACTGGCCACACCCTGTATTAAGCCAGGCTCCGCCTCCAGTGCTCACCTGCGCCGCCACCAGACCAAGCCCCAGGCACCCAGTCCCAGCATCAGCCCAAGGACCAACAGAGCAATCAGGACCTTGGGATACCCGGAACCTGGGGAGATGCGCGAAGAGGGGAGGGGTGCTGAGGTCAGGAGTATGACCACAGGGTCCGACTGGCTCTCCCTCTCTACAAGACTCTGCCCCGTATTTTGTCCAGAGTTGTGTGTCCAAGCCAAGTGCCCCTCTGCATCTGAGCCTCGACCTACCGTGTTTAGATCCCGAAGCCCTGCAGTCTGCCTTGTCCCCCAACACCTGAAGCACTGTGCGGCTCTCATTCTCTTGGCGCCCTTTGCAGAAAAAGGTGCCAGAGTCCCCGGCGCTCAGCACCAGCTCCAGCCGCTTGATGCCAGTGTCCAGGGAACGCAGGCGGCCGGAGAAGTGCGCGAACACGGCTGGGGGTCCGCTCGAGGAGGCCCACAGGATCCGACGGCGCCCTTTAGAGAGGCCCTGGCATGCCGGAAAACTAGGCGCCCAAGCCCAGCGGGTGGGGTCTGAGACCCCTATGCAGGAGAGATTCACCCTGTCCCCAGGGCTGCCCTTCAGAATAACTAGGGAAGGTGGAGGAGGGAGGGCGTTAGGGCTAGTTTACTAGATCTCTCTCTGTCTCTGTCTCTGTCTTTCTCTCCCCCCACCCTTTCCTCTACCCTTCTACCTACCATTCTGGGTCTTATATGCAGCCCCCTCCCTAGTCTGTCAGTCTGTCTCGACCCATCACAGCTCCCTAGGGATAGCCTACCCTGGGGATCGCCCTGGACCCTTGAGAGCAACAGAAGCAGCAGCTGCAGGACCAGGGCCATGGCTGGGGCATGGTAGGCAGAGGCCGAGTGAGTCAGCAGGGAGACCGGAGGGAAGAGGGACGCAGAGGGGCAGGGATGGGGTTACTACGGGACTGGGGGCACAGATAAGAGCGCGAGCGAGGCCACCAATTCCTGGATCCTTCTAGAAATCCTCATAAACCAGCTAGCAGTCTTCAAATCTTTCAAAACTGTTTAGAATTTGTGCCCGGGACCTTTCGCAAAGGCTCTGCGCTTCTTCTGCAAACTAACAGGACCCCCCCCCCCAGTCCCACAAATTCTGAAGTTCAGTTTCCTGCGTTCAGATCCTGATTTTTGCCACACAGTAGCTGGGTGATGTGAGCAAGTCACCTCTGCCTGTCCCCTCGCCAGGGAAATGGAGATGAAAGCGTTGTGAGAACCAAATATATACATTGAAGGTGGCTAAAACAACAGATGACATAAAGGAATTCTCAGTGCATGACTCTATTCTCTACTCTCATCTCACCTCCGGGTGCCCAGATGCTCCTCCCTACCCAAGGTGCTCCTCCCAAACCCAAGCCCAAGCGCAGTGGCGTGAGGGCATCCATAGCTTCTTGGTGTGGTCCTTCAGGATGCACAGCCTCTGCCCCGCTGATACCTATGACATCACAGAAACCCTCCGTGATGTCACAAACTTTATCCTGTGGCTGGGCATCAGTTGGAAGACAGGGCGGGGGAATGAATCTACATCATTCCAGTCCATTTCATCCAATTCTGCCTGCATGGCCCTTACCAATGTCTCCCCGCCTCCAGGGACCCAAAGTTGATGATCAGTTCAGGCTACAACCCACTGCTCACTTCTTAGGAACTAGCAGGAGCTGGCCCTGTGCCTGTTTAAGTCACAGAGACTTTTCTGATGCTGCTTCGGGGCTGTGGGGCCCTCAGTCGGGGGGTCCTAAAGCCAAGATCCAAAATGGAGTTGGCCACTAGTGACACGTGTCCTCCCCCGTCCATCCCCCTGTCTCATCTCCTCTCCCCTCCCAGGCCTGCTTGGACCCTCCCCACCTCTGATCTTTCTCTCTGGTTAGCTGGGTATAAATTGGGAGGGAGGTACCACACAGGGCAGAGGCCTGGAAGGGAGGGGCCTTTGGGATTATAAACTCTGAAAAGGCTGCTCTCAGAGCTAGATCCCTGACAACTCCCATCAGCTTCTGGGGCTGTGACCATTTTCAGCCTCGCCATGAAACGCCTGCTGCTGCTCGCCCTGTCAACCCTGCTCTGCTGCTGGGTCTCAGGTGAGCTCGCCCAGGGCCCCGGGCCCCACCCCAACCCTACCTGGCTTAGTCTCCCCTATGCCTCTAGGACCAGATGTCTGAGTGTATTGGGCCCTTTTCTCTTCCTTCCTTTCCCTGCCTTCTCCTTCCCTTTCCTCCTCTACCTCCCTTCATTTCTTTACTTAGTTTTTATTTATGGTTATTTATTCATTTATTTGGCAGAGTCTTGTGTTGCTAGATCCCACTTAGCAGCAGGAACTCCATTTTGTCCTAGTCTGCCACTCTGCCCTCAGTCACTACCCACAATTTCCTGAGGCTGAGCTGCGGTGGCCCTCAGCTCCCTCATACAGATGTCTAGAATGAGGCTACACCGCAAACATCCCCCCCCTTCTGACTGGTTAGCCCAGAGCAAGCCGCCAGAACTCCCTAATAGGCTGAAAGTGTTCCACCATGGAAAGTTCCCAACTGCTTCTCGGCTTCTCCCCTATTATATTATGACTGGGCGGGACTCGGGAGCTGTCTCTTTGCGGTTTTTCCCTTTAAAACTGACTGCTATTCCTGCCTCAAGGTTGCAGTCTGGATCTCCAAACCTGGGGCCTCCCTCACATATCACGGTTTTGTTTTTTTTGTTTGTTTGTTTTGTTTTGTTTTCTTGTTGTTTTTAACTTTTGGCTTGCTTGAACCCTGTCTTTGTGGTAGATTATTCTTGGACCCTAACAGTGTAGCCAAAGCTGGCTTTGAACTCCTGGTCCTCCCATCTGTCTCTTCCTCCTAAATGCTGGGGTTACACAAGCGTCACACCTGGGCCTTTGATCCTTTATTAAGGACGCAGGTCTTCACTGCGGTCTCCTCCTCCTGGCTCCCATTTCCCCTGGTCCAGTCTTCTGACATGCCATGGCTCTAGACCTCTTGTTCCCACTGCAGCGTGCCTTCCTCCCTGGACACTCTCCCTGGCCAGCCCCATTCCAACACGCAGTTCTCCAGGACCTAGCGCTCCTTCCTCCGCCCACCTCAGGCACTGAGGTGCTCTGCAATGGCCCTTCTCAGCCTGCTCCTTCCTGCCTGACATTGCTGCATTCCCCGCTGTCTGCCTGGGATGCAAAGCCTCCTGGGTGGTTCCAGTGACCGCTCACAGCCTTCCCAAAGAATCAGAGACCCTCCCTGAGCCTCCTGGAGAGAAGATGCCAGAGCACTTACCCCTGAGGGAGATGGGTTTCCTGGAGGTACACCAGGACCCTCCACCCGGTGCTGCGGGGAGCCAACCTTCCTTATAGGCAACTTTGCACGCTCAGACCTGAAGTTGGCCAGCACAGGATCCTGGCATGCCACCTTCGGCACCCACTCTCCGCTTTTGTTAGGTGATAAGACAACCCAGTGACACGCCTCACGGGTACTGTCCCTTCTTCCATACAGCGAGAGCCAGAACAGTTGCTAGAGAGGACTCACTCATTCAGGGCTGATCCTCCCCAAGCCCTGTCAGCTTCTAAAGCTGGCCGCAGGTGGCTTTCTGACGGCCTCGGTCCCAGGCCATCTCTGAAGGCACCGGTGACTCCCACACTTCATAATTTCTTCTTTCTTTCCATCCCGAGTCTCATCCCTCTTCCCCCAGCCTCTGTCGCCGAGCTTTCCCCATATCCCGGCCACCCCCAACCCCGAGTTTTGTTATTACAGTTCTTGACTCATCTATCCCAAACAGGCTGGGTGGAGGAAGGTATTTAAGGGTGTGTGCCTTCCACTCGCAGAACAGACACCTCCACACAACGCCCTCTCCGCCCCCACCTGCTCTGTCCCTGTGAACAAAGCAGGTCAGAGACGCTGGCTGCTTGGTGGACAGTTCTCCCCCCTCCCCCTAACTCAGAACTTCCCCTCACCTCAGCCTTCCCCTCACCTCAGCCTGACTCCTTTCCTCCCCAGCTGACATTAGGTGTCACTCCTGCTACAAGGTCCCCGTGCTGGGGTGTGTGGATCGCCAGTCCTGCCGCCTGGAGCCAGGCCAAAGATGCCTGACCACAAACGTGTACCTTGGTAAAGTCTCCTCTTCTGGGAGGGAGGGGCCAGGCGGGAGAAACATCTGGGACTGAGGCCCATCCAAGGCAGGGACAGAGAGCTACAGGGGTGACAGCGTGCGGCCAAAGATGATTATGTGCCAGGCGCTGACCTGTGTCTGCAGACACTGCGTCTGTGTGAGCGCCCCGTGGAAGGGGGTGCTGGAAGTAGAGGCAGGGTTGCGGCTCACACTCGGGAGGGATGGTCAGACTGAGCAGAGAGGGGAAGGGTGGAGCCAAGCAGCTTTGGGAAGGAAGAGGGGGACCAGTGGACACGGGCAAGCTGGCGGTGCTGACCCCTGACCCCCTCTCGGTTGGCTCCGGCCCCTAGGGAAGATGTGGGTTTTCTCTAACCTGCGCTGTGGCACACCAGAGGAGCCTTGTCGGGAGGTTTTCAACCAAACCAACCACAAGCTGGGCCTGAACTACAACACCACCTGCTGTGACAAGGACAACTGCAACAGCCCAGCCCCGAGGCCCACACCTGCGCTGGCCCTCCTCCCCCTCACCTCCCTGGCTGGCCTCGGCCTCTGGTTGTTGCACTGAGAGAGAGTCACCCCGTGGCTGCACAGTCTTCCATCGCTGTAGCCTGAGCCCTGTCTCCCTCAGAACCCCAGCTCTCCAGCACGCTCTCCCCTCACCCCGCCCCGTTTCTTAAGATCAGTCCCCTGTTGTCCCATTGGCTTTGTGGGACCGTGCCTAGAGTGGTCTTTCTAGCCGCCCCCCTCAGCCGGCACCTCTCCACTCCGTATGTCACCAAGTCCTTTCCCATTTCCTTGGAGACCACGCTACCTCCTTCACTGGCCACTGGAAGGGCTCCCTGCTTGGCAGCACATCGATGTGACCCTGGGACGCGGCCCTGGGAGGACTACCGCGAGTGACCCGCTAACCTCACTGCGTGGGGTTGAGTCCCCCCTGCTGGTCTCTTTCCATCTTGAGAAATAAAATGTCGGTGTCTGATAAACTGTTTATTGTCAGCGGATACACGTTAGTCTGGGCATGGTGGCTTTTCTCTGTGTTCTCAACAGCTGGGCAGTGGCGGCAGGAAGAATCAGGAGTTTGAGACCATCCTTGGTTACTTAGCAAGTTCAAGGCCAGCATGAGTCCAGTGCGATCCTGTCTCAAAAAGAAAGAGGCGGGCGTGGTGCGATACCATTTTAATCCCGGCATTTGAGGGGCAAAGATCTCTGAACTTGAGGCCAGTGGGACCTCTATGTAGCAAGTTGCAAGCCAGCCAGGACAACAAGGATTTTAGAGAGAGAGGGTGGAAAGAAGGGAGGGAAGGAAGGAGGGAGGGAGGGAGGGAGGGAGGGAGGGAGGGAGGGAGGGAGGGAGGGAGGAGGGGATTTTGTGGCGGTGGTGTGGGGCCCCTCTCCATGGAAAGTTCACTGCCAACCCCACCCTTCTTCGTAACTAAGCGTTCTGCAAGGCTGGGCTGACGAGATGGAACAGCAGGTTTTTCGAGCCTCTCTCCCTTCCGGTGCCTGAAGGTGACTGGCACTTTGGCACCACTTAGTGTTTGGAGAAACAACCCTCACCCTAAATTTAGACTGCACCCTGCCAAGAAGCAGGTGCAGCCTGGCTTGAGGGCGCCCCAGAAAAGGTGGGAAAGGTGTTTACAGACAGAGCTTCTGGCTCTTGTTCCCGCCTCCTGGGTGGCTTTCTAACTGGGTTATTCAAGCAACTTGGCTTTCTCAGTTCAAAATTGTCCTGTTAGGAGCCGAGTTATGAAGTAAGGAAGGGGAAACGAACCCGGACAGCCAGGCTCATGGAGTCCTGGTAATCCCCTACTCAGGGACCCCCCACTGTGAAGGTAGAATCTCCTTCAGCAAGTTCCAGGAGCCCCTGAGGGCAGGTTCTCTGCTGTTTCAGGGGTGTCATTGGGTAAGGACTGCTGACAGGTCGGATGTTAACTGAAACACCAGCCGTCAGCTAACCCTCACACTATCCCTTCAGCCTTTTCAACAGAAGATAAATAGACTCCGGGGAGCAGCGGCGCACGCCTTTAACCCCAGCAGTCAGGAGACAGAGTCGGGCGGATCTCTGTGAGTTTGAGGCCAGCCTGGACTACAGAGGACAGCCAGGACTACATAAAGAAACCTTGTCTACGAAAACAAACAACAAGCAAACAAAAACGGATGGCATTTAATAGCTCTAGAACAGTCCATGCATTTTAATGGCACACAAAGCAGTTTCTGCCTGCTCACCTTGGATGCTCAGGTCCCTCAGTCCCCACCCTACCCTCAATCCACTGTGGCTCTACAGGCCTGGTAAGAGCCAGGCCAGGGCGGTAACGGCTGCAGCCAGGATACAGAGCGGAGTCAGGGAGCTCGCCGTGGCGCCGTTGCACAGGTCTCCGACGCAGCAATTTTTGTGGGTTGTGAAGGTCACGCCGCCCACGGACTCTATGTCCACTTGATTGCAATGGTGGGTGGCCACGCAGGCTGGGTGGTGCTGACTTAAGGCCATGGACGCTGAGAGAGAGAACCACACTGGGGTGTTGAACTCCTGACTGCAGGGCTTGCCTTCCCTGGCAGAGCAGATGCAGTCTCCAGGGACGCAAAGGGATACTCTGTCGCCTCAAAAAAAACACCTGTCTGAAACTAAGGCATCGGAGCCAAACAGGTCCGCCTAGGGCAGGGATGCCATGGTGTTCCAAGAACCCAGGACCATGCCTGCCTCAGCCTCAACACGAGTGGGGGGGATGGGGGGGAGGGATAGAAACCGCAGCTAAACACAAGAGGGACAGTCTGTAAGACAACGTATCGTTGTGAAGTAAGTTTAGCTAAAGTTGGACACGGTGGTGCAGGCCTGTAACACAGCCACTCGGGAGGCCGAGGCAGGAGGATCCCCTCAAGGCCAGTCTGAGCAACACAACTGAGTTAAAGGTAACCCTCGGCTACAGATTGAGACCCTCCGTGTCCCAACCAAACAGCAAATAGAGCTGGGAATGTAGCTCACTTAGTAAAATGCTTAGGGTGCAGAAGTCCTGGATTTGATCTGCAGTAACAAAATAAACAGGTGGGTAGCACATGCTGCGTGGACAAAGGAGGGTCAGAAGTCCAAGGTCATCCTTGGATTCACAGCAGGTTTGAGGCCACTTTGGGACATGTGAGAGCATGTCCTAAAAAAAAATGTAAAAAAATATCGAGCTGGAGAGAGCTCAGTGGCTGAGTGCTGGCCACCCTTCTAGAAGACCTGAGCTCTGACATCAGGCTCACAACCACCGGAGACTCCAGCCAGCTTCAGGGGAGCTGATAACTCCTCTGGCCTCCGAGAACACCCACACACACTCGGCAGACACTCGGACAGACGGCAGACAGACTCATACGCAAACATAAATCTTTTAAAGATAATAAATTGGGACGGGGGGGGGGGGGGATGACTCGGGTTAAGAGCACTGGCTGCTCTTCCACAGGACTTGGTTCGGCTCCCACACCAACTTGGTGGCTCCAGTCTCCTGTAATTCCGATTCCAGAGGATTTCACCCCCTCTTCTGACCGCCAACGACACCAGGGACACCTGTGGCACACCATCACACACGCAGAAAGACATTCATGCACATACATTTTAAAATCTAAAAAAAAAATGTCATTTTAAGCAAGTCATGGTGGCTCACACCTGCCCTTAATCTCAGCACTCAGGAAGTAGAAGCAGGCAGATTTTTGTAAGTTCAAGTCTAGCCTGGTCTATGTAGCGAGTTCCAGGCTCGCCAAGAATACACAGTGAGATCCTGTCTCCAACCAACTAAAAATACAAACCAAATAAGATAATTACTTTAAAATAAAGTCAACGGGGTACTCTGCTCTGAGCTTGGTGACTGAATCTCTAAGTCTAGGTTAACTAGTATCGTGCTGTCATTTTCCAATTTTGGTAATGTTAGCAGCTGAAGAAGCTGGGTAGAAACAGGAACTCTGGCTGGGCAGTGGTGGTGCATGCCTTTAATCCCAGCACTTGGTTGGCAGAGACCAGGCGGATCTCTGTGAGTTCGAGACCAGCCTGGTCTACAAGAGCGAGTTCCAGGACAGCCTCCAAAACCACAAAAACCACAGAGAAACCCTGCCTCCAAAAACCAAAAAAAAAAAGAAAAAAGAAAAAAAAAAAAGAAAAACAGGAACTCTGTGCATTTCTTTCCTATTTTTCCAGTTAAACCTAATGATTTCAAAATAGACTATTAAACACACATACACACTCCCCTCAGCTCCAGTCCCTGAGAGTTGGAAGTTTGGAGTTTGGTTTAACATTTTGACTCTGGTCTTGGGAGACAGTTTCTTCCCTAGCAAAGGCCTATGAGGTTCTTCTATGGAGAGCAAGGGGAGGGGGCCTGAGGCGTGTGGGCTGCTCCAGGCACGGTGCCAGGAGCCACGAGGGTTAGTCTGCCCTACCACAACAGTGCCACCATCTGCCCAGAGCCGGGGGCGGAATTTGGAAGGGTGGTAGCCCTCAGGATTGGAGTGGGGGCCGGTTGGAAGCAGCGGGAAGTGGGGGGGCGAAGGACTCACGTTGCTTGGCTTGTCCTGGGTTGGGTTGGGGTTTGCGGTCCAGAAAGCCGCAGCGCTCACCCTCAGCACAGGTGATCACCGTCTGTTTGCAGGAGCTGCTGGGGCCTCCACCGCAGTCATAACACCGCGTGCCGTGTCCTGGCAGGAAAGAAGAGGTTCGAGGTTCGGGACCCGCGCCCTTAGAGGAGCCCTGGAAGAGGGAAGGGCAGGCCTGTGCCAGAAACATGCTCCCTTACCCAAGGCAGCGCCTAGCAGGACGCACAGTAGGATCCCGGCCAACTGGGGGTTCATCACCTCTGCTGCTGCCGGTGGCGACTCTCCCTCCCGCCCCCCCCCCTCTCAGGCGCTGCTCTGCCAGCTTTTATATCCCCTTGCCTTGAGCTTTATAGGGCAATAAAGAGCGAAGAGTCTCCCCCAGCAGACACCAGGGCCCCAATGGGGACAGGGAGGGGCCCCAGGGTGTCTCTGAGCATCCCTCTGAGGTCCCAAAGGCCTCCATCCTCCGCAGCAGTTTCCAGCCGAAGAACCATCCCCCTCCGGGGGGTCGCTAAGCCCCTTTCATACCTACCCCCCCAACCCCAGGGTCTTCTGTTTTCAACCCGATGTCTGAGGGTTTGGTCCTGCTCACCCACCTCCCCGATGGAATGCAGAAGTAGGTTATGAAAACCCAGCCACCTTTGATTATAGCCAGCACTAAATGGATTCTCAAAAAATGTAAAACAATGCCATGCTCCCCGTGCCGTCCCAGGCTAATTATTATTTTTCACACAACTATGTCTCCCTAACATATAATACGTTGCTTTTATTTGTTAAGTGAATCAAACTGCACCTAATTGTTTATTTAGCTAGCTGATAGTTGTTGTTTTTGGGACAGGGCTGGCTTGGAGCTTCTGATCCTCTTCCCTCAGTGTCTCGGGTGCTGGGATCACAGGCGTGAATCACCAAGCCTGGCTTCAATACCAACTTTAAATGTCCTATTTTATCGTTTTGGATTATAGAGATTTACTGTGCGTGTGCGTGTGTGCGTGTGCGCGCGCACATGTGTGTGTGTGTGTGTGTGTGTGTGTGTGTGTGTGTGTGAGTGTTTGCTTGTTCTGGCAGTCTTATGCATAACCTGGGCTAGCCTAGAACCCCGCAGGTAGTCCAGGCTGACCTCAGCTTTACAGAAATCCTCCTGCCTCAGTCTCAGGTGTACTGGGATCATGGGTGTGTGCCGTCCCCTGAGGCTTCTTATTTTAATTCCTTTTTATTTTTTTTTAAAGATTTATTTTATGTGAGCGAATGTTTTGCCTACAGGTAGATATGTGCCCCACGCGCATGCCTGGTACTGGTGGAGGCCACAAAAGTGCATCCAGCCAGGCGTTGGTGGCACACGCCTTTAATCCCAGCACTCGGGAGGCAGAGGCAGGAGGAGCTCTGTGAGTTCGAGACCAGCCTGGTCTACAAGAGCGAGTTCCAGGACAGCCTCCAAAACCACAGAGAAACCCTGTCTCGAGAAACCAAAAAAAAAAAAAAAAAAAAAAGAGTTCGTCCAATCCCTGGACCTGGAGTTACAGTTGGCTGTGAGCCACCATGTGGGTGCTGGGAATAGAGCTTGGGCCCTCTGCAAGAACAGCAAGCTCTCTAAACTGGTGAGCTGTCTCTCCAGCTCCCTTAGGTTTCTTTTTGAGACGTTTTATTTAGGGCTGGAGAGACAGATAACTCAGTGGATGAGAATGTCTGCCGTTCCTTCAGAACAGCTTCTTTCCCCAGTACCCACGAGGAGCAGTGGTAACCAGAGCTCCCGGGACACAGTGTCCTCTCTGGCCTCCGGGCTCCAGCACTTGCATGCATATATCTGCACAGACACACCACACACACACACACACACATACACGCACGCACACACACATACCACACGCACAGTCACACACGCACACACACCACACATGCACATGCATGCACACGAACACACGCACACACACACCACACACATGTATGCACACACATACATGCACACACGCACAGACACAGTCACACACACACCACACATGCACCCGAACACACGCACACACACACCACACTTTAGAAATAAAGTCTTAAGGAAATAGGCAGTAGCAACATAGGATCTCAGTGAGTTTAAGGCCAACCTGGTTTGCAAATAAAGTTCCAGACCAGTCCCCCAAAAAAATAAGTTAATAAAATGCATTATTTGTGTGTCCCTCTGAGTGCAGGTGAAGGCAAGCCGTCCTGCACTGGTGGGGACGGGGGTGGGGTGGGGTGGGACTTTGTGCTCATCTGGCTCTCTCTCTCCCCCCTTTATGTGGTTCCAGGGCTCCAGTCCAGGCTCTCAGGCTTACACGGCAAGGGCTTCTAATACTGAGCCATCTCTCCAGCCCATTTTAATATCTGGTGTGGCAAACATTGATAGAATTCATATGAGGGAAGGATCTCCGAGGTCTTTGGTCGTTTTTCAGGGTACAAAGAGATGCTGAGACGCCCACCCGCCCTCTTCCTGGCCGCAGCCCTTCTGGTGAAGTGTTTCTTCCGTTGGAACTGGGAACGGTTACAGGGCTGTCCGGGTGTTGGATTAGTGCTCTACAGCTGCACGGATACACCCAGTCTTCCCTTTCCAATGTCTTCCCAGAGGAAGGACACACATCCTTCTAGCCCAGCAGTAAAGCCAGGAGGGATAATTATGGGGTAGCAGTGTTGAAGCTTGGGGGGGTGAATCAAAGGATATGAACGAGGTGGGGCAGGCCCCTCACTGCTGGGCTTTATGGGTGGGGTGGGGCGGGGCGTGGCAACGGGTGGGTGGGCTTTGCTGATACCACATTCAACAGGGCCCTTAACATCTAGGGCAGAGGGAGGGAGGGTTCCGAGTGTGACCCTGGGAGGCAAACAAGCTCGGGGGGGGGGGGGGAGACAAAAACAAAAACACAGAACTGAGAACAGCTGGAGCTGAGGGGGGCAGGAGAAGGTGACAGACAGCTCCAGGCCGGCAGACAGCTAGGCTGAGTTAGCAAACACTGAGGAAACAGGAGACCCTCAAGGCGGGCAGGGGCAGGAGAGACACGGGCGTAGGAAGGGAGAGCAGTTGCATCAGGTGGGCAAATCTCACTTTTCCACACCCCAGATTCCCTCGCTGGGTCTGCTTATTTACTGGTTCCTCTTCCGTCTCTGACCAGGTGTGCTCTGACTGGGGTGCAGATCTCATCCTCCCAGACAGCTGAACCCCGGTCCTGCCATGGGCCCCTCCAGAGCCGTCCTCTGCACCCTCTTCCTCTCTGGGGCACTGGGTAAGGGCGGACTGGGGAATCCTCAAGGGCAGAGCGCTGGGACGGGGGGGCGCATGCCAGGGCTGGAATGGAGACTGGAGAAGGAGCTGACAGAGGTGAAGGGAAACAGGGAGTTATTGGGAGACTGGAAGGCTGAGGCAGGAGGAGCTGGACTCCCAGGCCTGCCTGGGCTGTGTAAAACCCTGTCTCAAAAGGCCGGGGGGGGGCGAGCATTTGAGGGTATCTCTTCCTGGTTGCCTCTGACTCTTTGACTCCCTCTCTATTCCCGTTCGTTACCTCACACTTAGCTTGTGCGAGGCCTGGCTCCCTGCTCACAGGCCTCCGTGCGACGCTCTGTGGGCTTGTTTCTCTTGGCCTCTGTTCCTGTCTGTCTCCCCCGACTTACTGTGTCCCTTTCCCTTCGTCCTGTCCCTGGCCTGCGTGCTGTCTCCTTCCTTCCCTGTCTCAAGCCCCTGTCTACTTCTCCTCCGTGCCTCTCCTCTCCCTCCTCCGTGTGTCTGTCCCCTCTTAACCTTCTCTGCCGACCGACAGGTCTCACCACTTCCCCAGCCCGGGGGCGGCTCCGGTGTTATACGTGCAGCTTTGCCAAGCCCTGCTACCCCGTCCTCACAGAGTGCCAGGAAGACGAGGCGTGTGGCATCAGCGTTGGCACCTCAGGTAGGACGACTCTGGCCCAACGGCCCTTTACCGGGTGACTCCTCGCCTCTCCCCTCTGCCACCCAACCTCAGCGTCCCTTTGTCCCGCAGACCAGGAGGAGGAGGAGGATGTCATCGAGCGGAAAGGCTGCCTCCCCAGGGCCCAGTGCCCTCTGCTGGGCCACGCCACCTACTGGTCACAGTCCTACGCTCTCCGACACCAGTGTTGTGAGCAGGACCTCTGCAACACTGCCCCCTCAGGGCGGCTCCCAAGCCTTCCCCTCACCACCCTGTTGCTCCTTGCCTGGGGAGCATCTTTCTCTAGCCTGTGAACCCACGGCCGTCAACCCAGGACTCCGGATGTCATCGTGGACCTGGAAACACGTGCTCGGATGTCTCTGGGGCATGCTCAAGAATGTGTATACACACACACACACACACACACACACACACACACACACACCCTGGCCCCTGAGGGTTTTTACACCAACACCTCTACAGACCCCTCCTGAGACCCGATTCCTACAACTGGAGTTCCGATCCCAGCGTGCATGTGTCCAGAGCCTCATAAGTAGAAACCCCTGCTGTCTTTTCTCTAAGTGTCCCAGGTCAGCTACCCTCAAGGATCTGTGGGTCCCAGGCAAAGGGCCAGACGTGGAAACTGGGATTGGCGAGGCGTAGACTTCTGCTGGAAAAGATGTCACGTGGCACCCGAGGGTCTCAGGAGCGGAAGGCTGCCTTGGGGAACCGTAAAGAGGTACATCTAATAAAAGGGCTATTGTGGTGGAGAAACGGCTCAGGGACAGAGTGCTTGCCTAGCGCACACACCCCCATGTCACCAAAATAAATAAAGACAAAATAAGTAGTATGTAACAGGGCTGTCTGTGAGCCTGGGGGTGCTTCAAGCCTTGCGTAGAGGCGGTGGTGAGGGATCACAGGGGGGGTGCGCTTTAAGAATGAACTCTACAGGCCAGAATCTATGTCTCCTTGGATACCAGCATTTGCATAAGCATAAGAACCTGGCTTTGGGTGCCAGCACCCACTTAAAAAGCTGGTCTTGGGCCGGGCGGTGGTGGCGCACGCCTTTAATCCCAGCACTCGGGAGGCAGAGGCAGGTGGATCTCTGTGAGTTCGAGACCAAGCCTGGTCTACAGAGCGAGTTCCAGGACAGTCTCCAAAACAATACAGAGAAACCCTGTCTCAAAAAACAAAAAACAAACAAACAAAAAAAGCTGGTCTTGGGGCTGGAGCGGTGGCTCAGAGGTTAAGAGCACCGGCTGCTCCTGCAGAGGACCCGAGTTCAATTCCCAGCAACCACATGGTGGCTCACAACCACCTATGATTCCAGTCCCAGGATATACGTGCAGGCAAAGCACCAGTACATACAACATTTTAAAAATTAAAAGTCGGGGATAGCCACACATGAGTGCTCGTAACCCCAGTGCCAATGAGGGGCAGAGACGGGAGGATCTGTGGGTCTTGCTGGCCATCAGTTTAGTGAGAGACCCTGCCTCGAAGGGGTAAGAGGAAAGAGTAGGACACCCGATGTCTTCCGCGCATGCGCTGGCGTGTGCGCCCGTGCACCTGTATGTCTGCAACAGTCCCACACAAGAGCGAACTGTAGCTGCCTTGTGGACTGGACGGGCACACTGGAACCTGGGCGATGCCCCGCACACAGTTTCCATCTGTGTGGCCGTCATCACCCTCTCTCCTGCCAACATCCGAGCCTACGCCACCGCAGCGTGAAGGCTGCAAGGTGAGGATTCCAAAAAAGCTGCTCTCTCCCTCGAGAGCCAACCTTGAGTCAAAAAGGGAACCTGGCAGAGCTGCTTGTGAGGGTGTGGTCTCGTTTCTGGAGGCTGGCGACTGACTGTTTTGGAGCACTGATGCCCTCTCCCGCTTCACCGTCCCAGAGTTGCCCTCTGTTCAGAGAGCCTGGAAGTACTCGCTCCACTAAGGATCTGTCTGCCAGCCCTAGTATATGCTTCCTCTGCCCGGGGAGATAGCCTGGGACCCCTGGGTGCGAGGGGCAGAGCTCCCAGGGAGTCGGAAGTGATAAGCTGCTCATGCTGGTGATGGAGACCCACAGAGTAGCGTGTGGGCGCCTGGGATAAGGAGATCTCCCTGCTGGGGCTGAACTGGCCTCCCCCTCTGGGCTTGCTTCCCTCCTGTTCCATCTGAGGAAGTCTGGGGCCTGATTAAGGGTCTTGTTCCCTCTCAGTGTCTCTCTGTGGGAACAACGGGGGGGGGGGGGGAGGGGAGGTCTGGTTTACTTTGGAGGGGGCCTGCTGCACCTTCTGTTTTCCCTGTCCCCCAGATCTCCCCACTTGGGGATCCTGCTTTCCCCACTCTGCAATCGAGTCTCTCAGCTTCTCCCCCCCCCACCGACTTTTCTTCACAGCTTCTCCTATGACAAACGCCCCGTCACTTCTCAAGCCTCTGGGCTTCCCTGTGGCTCTTGTCCCCAACAGAGACTCCAAACCCCATCATAGGTCTCACTCTGGGTCCCTCCTCTACCAGCTGCGTCAAGACAGGAGACCACACCTTTTTGTACGTGGCACCACAGAATGATGTTTCTCCCTTCCTCAGGTCCTCCCTGTCCCCGCCAGCTTGGTGGCTGTTGGAGGCCAGGAGGGATTAGAGTCACACCCTCAGCCCCACCCCCGTCCACAGGGTTTTTCAGGGAATTCTTCAGGTGACAGAGGACAGCAGGTCAGGCTCCCCGAGGCAGATGTCACCAAGGTCACCTGGTCTTGTGGGTGGGCGGGCTGTAGAGTTTTGCCAAGCAGAAAGCCGTGTTAAAAAAGCTACTACACCTGCTCACGAACCAGGACCCCCCATCTGCAATCCAACCCCGGAACCAGGCAACAGCAATTTCCCATGCTCGGGCCCCTCTGGGACATGACGTAAGCCCCCGTCCCCCAGTTGTTCCTTACCCAAGGTGGGCCAAGTGGATGTTCTCATAGACCTGGACTTCAGGTTTGAAGTGAGGCATCGAGGGTTCTGGGGAAAAGAGGCCGTGTGGTGGATAGCGGTCGCCAGACAATTCGGGGATGTGCTCCTTGTCACCCCTCCCTTAGAGCAGACAGAGGCCAGCCAGAGTCTAGATATGAGCCCCACCCTCTGCCTCACACGCAGGTGACGTCTCTGGGCGAAGACTCACCTCTGTCCTGAGACCGCTGGGCCCTCTGCCTGCAGAGCACAATGCTGAGGGCTATGATGGTGACCCCCAGGCCGGCTGTGAGCAGCAGCAGCACCCCGGGCACATCCCAGCCCCGGGCAGAGGTGCACGTGGCGGGAGACGGTTCTGTGGAAGCTGCTGTGACATCAAGACAAGAATGACAGGCAGTGGGGGCCTCAGTGCCTTCCTGGTCTACACAGTGAGGGATTTTACCTTCCTGACAGGAAGGTCAGGTCAGGGAGCCTGACCTTCCCGTCGCTGCTGCAGGAAGGAAGCAGAGTCGTTCTGTGATGTCACCTAAAAAAGGTCTGGTCACCTGTCTTAAGCAGCCAGGGCAGAGGCAGCCCTGAGTCAGACATGGCTTGCTCCCTCACAGTCTAGGGGGGATTTTCCTACAGGAAATACTCAGGAGACCCCCTGCCTCCAGCACCCACCGCCCTCTGACTCTGCTCGTGGACTCCAGGAGTCACCATCCGAGAGAGTGGCAGCGGTCCCCGTCACACAGGGACAGCTGGTTCCAGAGCACATCCTAGTCATAGCTTCTCTCACGATAATTCACATTTTTAAAGCTTCGTTTATTATCGTGCATGCAGCGTTCTGCCAGCATGTATGCCTGCAGGCCAGAAGAGGGCGCCAGATCTCACTACGGATGGTTGTGAGCCACCATGTGGTTGCTGGGAAATGAACTCAGGACCCCTGGAAGAGCAGGCAGTGCTCACCGCAGCGCACACCTACAATACCAGCACCTGGGAGGTGGAGATGAGACAGTAAGGAGCAGAGGTCATCATCTACGGGAGTGGGTGGGGGGTGGGGAGTGTGTGTGGGGACGGCTGGAGGCCTGCCTGGGCTGCGCAAGAGCTTGGCTCAGTGCAAAAGAAACAGGGAAGGGCCAGCCTGGTCTACACAGTGAATTTCAGGCCAACCAGGTCTGCAGGCGAGATACTAACATTAAAAAAAGACAGGGCTGGGGGGGATGGCTCAGTAGTTAGTTAGCATGCTGGCCACACACGTGTGAATCCCCAGAGACCATGTGAATGCAGGCGGGCATGGCGGCCCAGCTGTAATTCCAGCCTCTGAGGGCAGAGATGAAATGGCATCCCCAGAGCATGCTGGCTAGTGTGACTAGCCTTATTGATGAGCTCAGGGTTTGATTGAGAGACACTGCTTCCTTGACCAAGACGGAAGAGCAATGGATTCCAGACATCAACCTCAGGCCTCCACATGTCTGCACACCCATGTTCGTGTGTGTGTGTGTGTGTGTGTGTGTCTGTGTCTGTGTCTGTGTGTATCTATGCGTGTGTGTCTGTGTGTGCACACGCGCATGCGCGCACCCATGTGTACCCACACACATGCAAATATGCATACACGCATGCATACCGCACACGCATGAAAAGGGAAAAAGCTTTACCGCTCCCGTTTCTTCGTTCCCTTATCGGCCACTCCCGTGCTCGTCTCTAGGCCTTGCCGAGATCTCTCTGTCTGGAAACAGTGCCTGCTTGCTCCTCTGACTTACAGCCGGGTCATTCTAGTCTGGCAGCTCTCGTTCTCCACATAGTGGCCTTTATTTTGCACAGCTACACACGTCTGCTTCTGCCTTTCCTGTCAATCGGCCATTACACGACCGCATGTGCGACCCCTTCTTCACAAGTCAGCGTCCCCAGAAACCCCTATGCACTTCCTCTCTGCCATGGAAAAGTCCATAGACGTAATAGATTAGTCTGTTTCTTTCTTTTGTTGTTTTTGAGACAGGGTTTTGTGAAGTCCTTTCTGGCCTTGAACGCCTGCCTCCCCCTCCAAGTCCTGGGACTGCAGTACGAACCACCATGCTTGGCTCACATATTGGCCTATTTCTTGACTTTTTTTTTTTTTTTTTTTAGCAGGGTGGGGACAGGGCTGGGCTTCTCTATATAGATAGCCCTGGTTGGCCTGAAATTTGCTATGTCGACCAGGCTGGCCTAGGAACTCAAAGACACTGACTGCCTCTGCCTCCTGACAGCTAGGACTAAAGGCACAGACCTGTTTCTTTTCTTTTCTGAAGCAAGGTCACATGTAGGGCAGATGACCTTTGAACTCACCATAGAGCCAAGGCTCAAACTTCTGCTCCTCCTTCTTCCTGCCAAGTGTGAAGAGGCCAATGATGCCACACCCTGCTTATAGATCAGTCTGGTTCTGTCTTGTGTGTGTATGTGTCCTGTGGGTGTTGGTGTGCATGTGTGTGTGTGTGTGCGTGAACATGTGTGTATGTGTTCCTGTGGGTGTTAGTGTGCATGACTATGTGTGCTCATGTGTGTGTTCATGTTGGTGAGCTTGCCTGTGTGTCTGTGTGCTCCTGTGGGTGAGCACGCCTTTGTGTGTGTGTGTGTATGTGTGTGTGTATACATGCCTGTGTGCTCCTGTGGGTGAGCACGCCTGTGTGTGTGTACATGCCTCTGTGTGTGTACATGCCTCTGTGTGTGTGTACATGCCTCTGTGTGTGTGTACATGCCTGTGTGTGTGTACATGCCTCTGTGTGTGTGTGTACATGCCTCTGTGTGTGTGTGTACATGCCTCTGTGTGTACATGCCTCTGTGTGTGTGTGTGTACATGCCTGTGTGCATGCACACGTGTGGAGACTAGAGGCCAACCTCAGGTGGTGTTCCACCATATTTTGTGAGACGAGTTCTCTCGTTAGCCTGGAGCTCACACAGCCCTGGAGTCGTCTGTCGGCCCACCTGGTGTTGGGACTACAGCTGTGCATCACCAGGAATGGCTTTTTTATGTGACTTCTGAGTTCAAACTCTGATTCTAATGTTTGTGCTATAAGCATTTAACATGGCAGAGCTCTCTCTTCACTCCTAGATTAACCCCTTACTAACAGTGGTAAATCCCTCCAAAGAAGGTCCTGGCTCCCGGTCTGGTCTGTTCCTTTTTTTTTCTTTTTGGTTTTTCAAGACAGGGTTTCTCTGTATTGCTTTGGAGTCTGTCCTGGAACTCGCTCTGTGGACCAGGCTGGTCTCTAACTCCCAGAGATCTGCCCGCCTCTGCCTCCTGGGTGCTGGGATTAAAGGCGTGCGCCACCAACGGCCAGTTAATCAACCCTCTTTTATGATAGATTTGGCCAATGTGTGTGGGGGGGAGCCTTCCCCTACAGGGAGGTGACCTTCGGAGCCGGCCTGATTTGCCTCATTTTCCAACCTTGAGAGATGTGCCAGAGAGAATCCCCTTTCCCTTTCTTCAGTTCCCCCCTCGTTTTTTACCTGCCAGGCTAAAGATGAATCTTTTGTTCTGAGGCATGAGGCAGCGGATGCTCCTCGGCTTACGGCCCCTGGTCTCAGGAAACCCCTCTGCGGGACACACCAGCAGCAGGGCAGCTCCGTCTCCCCAGAAGTACTGAGCATGTCCTCTCACAGGATTCCTCCCCTCTAGCCAGGTCACGGAGTCCAGACGCCTGGCGGGGACCACAGAGCACAGGAGGGCAGAGCAAGAGAGGCCATCCAGGGACTTCACAGAGAACTGGGACCCTGGCAAGAGAGAGGACGCCTCAGTTCCTTGTGTGGTCTTCCCAAGCCTCCAGTGTCCACGGAGGTCCTTGCGCCCTAACTCACCTTTGAGCACGGAGACATCGTACACCCTCCAGTTCTGGTATTTATGGCTCTGGTCCCTCACCATGCACCAGTACCGACCGGCATCTTCGTCCCCGGGCCCCTCCAGCAGTAAGGAGTAGTTCCCAAGGACTTTGAACCTGGAGTCATTCTCAGGCTTCCCCAGATCCGAGACTGGCCTGTCTACTTGGATCTGGGCCACCAAGATGGTGGAGGAGCTTCCAGCAGGGCTGCGGAACCAGGTGAGGACCTGGCCCCCAAGTAGGGAGGGCGGCGAGGGACACGGCAGCTCGGCTGACTCCCCCGAGACGACATAGACCGTCTGGATGCTGTCTGTGGAGAAATGGCGGTGTCAGGACTAGAGCTGTCTATGCCTTCAGCAAGCCCCCACTTCATGTCTAACCCCTGGGGTCTCCAGAGCACATTTCTCAAGCGACTACTAAGAAGAGAGGCTGGCAAAGCGTAGTTGGTTAAGTGCTTGCCTGAGTTCTTGGGTCCCATACCCAACACTGAAAGAAAGAAAAAAGCCTCTCTCGGTCTGGGAATGGGGCTCAGGGCTCAGCTGGCAAGAGTGCCTGTCTAGTTTGCATGAAGGGCGACCCTGGTCCCCAACACTGCGTAAACCCATAAACCCAATGTGCTGGTGCATGCTTGGCGATCCAGACACCCAGAGCAGGAAGATCAGAAGCTCAGCGTCACCCTCAGCTGCTTAAAGGGTTCAAGGCTACCTGGGATACACGAGTGTCCCAGAAAAGTGGGGACCTGGGGACAGGGATGGGCGGGTGAGGTGGAATACGGAGAGTAAAGTCTTTCTATTTTCCCTTGCCGGCGAGAGGCTCTGAGACAGGACGGGACAGGATGTAAGGAGGCTGCCCTTATCTCTTCAAACATCTACCCATCTGTTTTTGTTTTCTACAGGGAGCTAAGCCAGGCATGGCGGGCACACACCTGTCATGCCAGCACTCGGGAAGGCTGAGGGAAGAGAGGACTGCAATATATTAGCAATTACCAGGCCAACCAAGGTACTTCTTATAAAGCAATGCCCTGTCTCAAAACAGACCGATATTAATAAAAAAAAAATAATAATAAGGGAAACTGTAAGCTGGGCGCAGTGGCATGCACCTGTAGTCACAGCACGGGGGAGGGGGAGGGGGAATGGGAGGGGGGAGGGGGAGGGTTCCTGAGCTGAGCGTTCAGGGCCAGCCTGGACTGCTGCGGGTTGTCATACAGATTTGACAAAAATTCCTTGCTAAAGCAACTTAAGGGAGTAAGAGTCATTCATTCATTCATTCATTCATTACATTTGAGACAGGGTTTCTCTGTGTAGCCCTGGATGTCCTGGAACTCACTCTGTAGACCAGGCTGACCTCAAACTCAGAGATCTGCCTGCCTCTGCCTCCTGAGTTCTGGGACTGAAGGTGCGCGCCGCCACCACTTGAAGTTTATTTTGGCTTGTGGTTTAAGGAACACAGACCGTCATAGCGGGACATTTATGGCGGTAGAAACATGCCTGCCTCTGGAAGGACTTAGGGGTAGAGGAAGGGGACGTCTATTCTCGACTGGCTCTGTCCTTTTTGAGTTAGACTAGGACCCCAGGCCGCTGGATGGTGACACTGGCAGTTGAGGTAGCTCTTCCTTTCCTCCCCAGTTAAAACTCTTTGGAAACACCCTCACAGACGTGCCTAGAAGTAGTGTACTCAGCATCACAACCACATAGCAAGACCCTCATCTTGCACCATCAAATCAACTGTTTGCCTGAAGATTACCTGGATCTCCTGGTCTCGCTATCTCCTCTCAAATTCTGGGATGATGGACATCGAGCGTCTGTTTAAGTGGTGATAGGGACCTCTTTTGAGCTACATCCTCAGGCCTGATACTTACATTTCCGAAAACACAGGAAACTGTATGTAACTGTATGTAGGATGCCTCTGGGTCTCCCCCAGGACTAAAAGCTGAGATAGTTCCAGCAAAGCGAGTCTGTCTCCTTGAGTCATGTGTATTTTCAGAAGTGCTAAGGAGGAAAAGCAGCGGCCCCTCCCAGCTTTCCAAATAGCTGCAGAACCCCCCCTCATGCCCCTTACCTGCGGCGGCCTGGGGGCGCCCACACCAGAACAGGAGGAGGAGGAGAGCGACTATGGCTGCCATGGAGAGAGACTGCCGCGTCCCCCTGCTCCAAAGACCTGGTGTTTCCAGGGAGGAAGCAGAACACAGATAAAGGCCACATCCCCTGGGCTGGAGCTGCTGAGCCTCTGGGGAAATGAGAATGCAGGTGGGGGTGGGGGGCACTCAGCTGCACGTCTTCTGGGGGAAGAAGAGCCTTCATCTTCAGTGCTTGGAGTCAGTGCTGGTGCAAGCTGCTCTGATGTGGAAGGAATCCCAGATGTCTACCTACACCTTCTGCAGCTTGTTCTGTCCCGAGACATCAGCCATGAGCCAACCAAGCCTGTTCTCGCCTTGGAACCCTGCATAAAGCCATACACCCAGGCGGTGCCCCCTAAGTGAGCTCAAGTGTCTTTTCCTGTGGTTGTCTGGCATACCGTGGACTGTTCCAGAACCCCTGCGGAGTGTCTTTAGCCGTCACTCGAGGAGAAACGCAGCAGGGACCTGGATTATTCATGGATGCACACCTTTATACACATCTAATTGTTTATCATTTAATTTGGGTGGTTAATATTTAATTATGTGGTTGCTTTTTGTGTGTGTGTGTGTATTTTATTTCATTTTTGGGGCCAGGGTTGCAAGTTGTGTGGTTAGGGATGATATTGAAATCTTGACTGGCGCTCCCTTCACCTCCCAAGGTATGAGGTGAGATGACAGGTGCGTATCATTATGAACAAATTATTTCAAATATTGGGCAAGTTCTTTGTCGCTGAGGGATATCCCCAGCCATTAAATTATCTTCTCTTGGGCTGGGGAGGTGGCTCAATGGATGACGGCCTTTGCCAACGAGCCTAGCAGCTGGAGCTCAGTCCTCAGGATCCTCAGGGGCCCGGGGAGAACTGACTCCTCAGAATTGGTCTCTGAGTTTCACATACAACACACTGGCTAGTTTTTCCTATTTATTTATCTCTTTATTTTAATTTTGCATCCTGACCCGTTTCCCCTCCTTCCTATCCTCTCATCCCTGCCCTCTGTCCCCACCTTCACTGGCTAGCTTTTAATGTCAACTTTACACCTTAGCACCCTGTGAGAAGAACCATTTCTTCTGTGTAGAATGTTTCTCTGTGTAGTTTCGGAGTCCATCCAGGAACTCACTCTGTAGACCAGGCTGGCCTCAAATTCAAGAGATCCACCTGCCTCTGCCTCCTAAGTGCTGGGAGAGGCAGGCAGATCTCTGTGAGTTCGAGGCCAGCCTGGTCTACAGAATCAGTTCCAGGACAGGCTTCAAAACAATACAGAGAAACCCTGTCTCGAAAAAACAAAACAAAACAAAATAAGGGGGAATGTAGGCATTTCGGGGTGGATTGGATCGGGACAGGTATCCTGGATCTCAGGAGTCACACACAGAATACTGAGTGTTACACAGCTCAGATGGAAAGGTATCCTGGAGCTTGGGAGCCAAGGACTACCACAGGCTGCAGTAAGCATAGCAGCTTACAACCCTGCCTCAGGGAAAGGCTTCCACAGTGTATCGGCTCTGCTCCTGCAGGAGAGGTTCTTTCAGTTGGTAATGCTTGCCCAGTGTAGCAGTTTTGCTCCTCCTGCGGGAGTGGAGAGCCGCTCTGTCAGGGGAAGGTTTCCCTGGCAAGTGTTACAGCCCTGCTTGCCCTGCTGCCTCTACTTGCTCTGCCCTGCCCAGGGTTGCCTCTGTTCCGCTGCCGCAAAAGATCTTCACCCAAAGCGATTCATTCAAGGGGTTTATTGGGAGGAAAGAATCCAGAAGAGTGGCTGCCCTCTGCCAGAGTGACAGAGGACAGCCTGGTAGCACAAACAGCCACAAGCTGAACAGACACAGGGTTTATATAGGGCTTCCAGGGTGGGGATTGGTCAGATTTTAATGCTGAGCTCAGATTGGCTAGAGCTCCTGCTCGAGGATTAGTTAGTTTTCTGTACAGGATTTGGTCAGATTTGGCTCTGGTTTCAGGGCAAAAGTGTGTTTCTTTCTCTGGTCCTTTTTAGTCTTTTGGCTCCAATTTTAGGGCCAGGGTGCATTTCTTTCACTGACTCTGACTCCAGGGACAAAGTGTGTTCTATTGGCACTGGTTTCAGGGTCAGGGTACATTTCTTTGGTTGTGGTTGCAGGGCCAGTGTGTTTCTTTGGCTCTCCTCAGGGTGTTTCTTTGGCTGCTCCCTTTTTCCTACAGGGAAGCCCTAGCAGAGTGTCTGAGTGAGGGTTAACATTGCTGTGATGGAACACCGTGACCAAGGTAATTTGGGGAGCAAAGGGCTTATTCAGCTTACACTTCTAAATCATCCTTCATCATCAAAAGAAGTCAGGACAGGAACCCACACGGGGCAGGAACCTGGAGGCAGGAGCGGGTGCAGAGACCATGGAAGGATGCTGCTTACCGGCTTGCTCCTTTTCATTGTATGACTGCACAAGAGTGACCACTAACAACCACACAACAGAGTCAATTCTAGGCTACCTTGAAATCTCCTCTGCCAATGACATTACTCTAAAACTCTAGGACTTGCAGGCTGTGTGCATATGTGGACACACACACACACATAATTTTAAAATCTGAAAAAGAGGGAATGGTGAAACATGTGTTTAATCGTAGCACTTTGAAACGGTCTCTCTACGTGGCCCTGACTGGCCTGGAACTCACTATGTACACCAGAGTGGCCTGGAACCAAGAGACTCATCCGTCTCTGCCTCTTGAGTGCTGGGGTGAAAGGTGTGTGCTATTACACCTGATGGATTACCTCTTTCAATAACTTTTTTATAGGATTTTTCATAATCCTGGTATTTCTTCTAATGGATACATCCCTAGACTGTGTCTCTGTGTGTGTTTGCATGTGTGTCTGTCTGTCTCTTTGTGTATCTGTGTCTGTCTCTCCCTGTGTATGTGTGTGTCTGTCTCTGTCTCTCCCTCTCTGTGTATGTGTGTCTTTCTGTGTGTGTGTGTCTGTCTCTCCCTCTCTGTGTATGTGTGTCTGTTTCTATGTGTGTGTGTCTGTCTGTCTCTCCCTCTCTGTGTATGTGTCTTTCTGTGTGTGTGTCTGTCTGTCTGTCTGTCTCTCCCTCTCTGTGTATGTGTGTCTGCTTCTCTCTGTGTGTGTGTGTCTGTCTGTCTGTCTCTCCCTCTCTGTGTATGTGTGTTTCTGTGTGTGTGTCTGTCTGTCTCTTCCTCTCTGTGTATGTGTCTTTCTGTGTGTCTGTCTGTCTGTCCCTCTCTGTGTATGTGTGTTTGCTTCTGTGTGTGTGTGTGTGTGTGTGTGTGTGTGTGTGAGTGACGGTAGGCAAGTGTTCTACCGTTGAGCTACAGCTCCAGCCGCTAGACTCTTCTTGAAGTTCTTGTCAAATGCTCCTACTCACACCCAACGATCGTTCCAGAGCATGCTGACATTAAGGGTTAGGAGGAAAAAAAAACAAAAAAACAAAAAAACAAACCAAAAAACCAACCACGATTTAATCACGCCAGGACGTTTTTTTAACCCTCGACGTTCAGAACGCCTCTGTTGCAGCGGCGCGGAACCGTCCCCTCGCGGCCACACTGCCGGGTCGGACCGGCCGCGGGGAAGAACCGGTACGTGCTGACGTCACGCACGCAGCGCCTCGGAGGCCGAGGGCGGGGCCGGCGGGGGACCCGAGGCCGAGGAACCGCGGCCCGAGCCGGGGCTATGGCGAAGCTGCTGAGCTGCGTCCTCGGCCCCCGGCTCTACAAGATCTACCGGGAGCGGGAGACGGACCGGGCCGCGTCCAGCGTCCCTGAGACTCCCACCGCCGTCCCCGCCCCCTCCGCCAGCTCCTGGGTGAGTCGCGTCCCCCCCCCGGCTGAGGACATGGTACGGCCCAAGCCGCGCTGGCCGCTCGCTGCCCGGACGCGTCCACTGCCGGCGACGGGGGAGGCCGCCTGTCAAGCGGCGGCCGCGCAGTCCGCCCTGTGAGCGCCTCCCGGCTCCGAGTCACGCCGGCCCGGCCGCCGCCTCTCTGGTGGACGGCTTTGGGGCCACCGCTGCTCGCCCTCACACCAGAGCTCGCTGTCCCCTCCGCCTCCCCCGACCCTGCCGGTCAGGGGTCCGGGCCGGTCCCAGCTGAGTCCGGAGTCCCCTGCGCGCACCGAACGCCTTTGCCCGCGAACTCCCAGTTTCTCCTCCCCTAGGCTCTCTGGACTTTCTCCGTAACCTGACTTTTCCGTTTCAAAATGACTTCTCCATGTCATGAGTCCACTTGTGCAACTCGAGCCCACAAAGCTAGCCTGAGACGAGCTGCAGGTGGTGGTAGTCTGCCCTCCGGATACGCTCTTCCCTTTTTTTTTTTTTTTTTAATGGGTTGCAAATTACGTTTAGGAGCCTTTCCAAATTGCCCACATCTAGCTACATTCTTCACGAATCAACTTACGTCAGATGCTATCCCTTCCCTCTTAAGATTGCCATGGAGTCTTTGCACTACCCCCCCCATACACAGAATCATATTTATTATATCCGGGTTTTGGGGGGGGAAAAAAGAGCCAGACTCCCAAATGCTGCTTTCACTTTTGCTTCCAAGTCAGGGTCACAGGTGAGAAGTCACACTAGTGTCAGTAGAGACCAGGAGTATCCCGAGAGACATGACCAAGGAGGCTAGGACCAGGTGGCACACGTCGAGGCTTCTGGAAGGGAGGCAGGGCCGTCAGCGGGCAGGGTCCTTAACCGGCCATCTGTTTTGGCAGGATACATATTATCAGCCCCGTGCCCTGGAGAAACATGCCGACAGCATCCTGGCACTGGTAAGTCAACTCCGCATCTGCGATTCCGTAATTCTTAGCAGGCCCAGCTGCTCCCTGGATGCTGCTCCTGTCCAGGAGGTGTGTGGGTGGGGGGTGCTCTGAGCTCTGTGCAGAAGAACATATATGCACCAGCGCACCCCAAGTTCAGACAGTTGGCATTCCCTCTTGGGGGCCCCCCTCTTGTGTACCATAAACTTTTTCTAGAGCAGTCTGAGGATAAAACATTCACCCTTGGGATCATGTGCAGGGCTCTGAGCCTGCAGTCCCCAGTGACCTGTCCTCCCTGGCAACTACCCTCTGGCTGCGGAGACA